GAGTCATTTTGTGCTCGTCATGGCATACGTCTATCCCTTATGCAGGGTTTGTCTGGGATTGTGAAGACAGTACCATCAACAACATTCCCAACTCCATTTGCGTCACCTTTGTTTACAGGAAGCTTCCCTTCAAGTCCCCTCTTGTATAGTCCCGATCTTGGTCAGAGGATTGGACGAATTGATCTGGTCCCACCATTAAGTTTAGATGGTCAATTGGGAAAAACAATTGCATCGCCTCCTATGTCTCCTCGAGGACTTAGACAGCTCTCTTTGCCCATTAAATCATTGCATGAGAAATTGCAGAATTCACCACAAGTGGGTGTTATACACTTGTCTCTTCAAAATGACTCAGATGGCTTAATTGTGAGGTAGTTGCTAGTATGTTTTGTTACTTTCATGAATTTCTATTCATTGTCTCTGGTTATTTTTCTATGTCCGCATTGAAGCTTGATGCTGTTGTCCTTTTTTTAAGTTGGCACAATGATGTATTTGTGGTGGCTGAACCTGGAGAGCTTGCGGAGAAATTTCTACAAAATGTTAAATTGAGTTTGTTGTCAACAATGAGGAGCCATCGTAGAAAGGGTGCATCTCTCCTGGCCAATATTTCTACTATTTCAGCTTTAGTTGCCTTTAAACCTTATTTCCAAATTGGAGGCATTGTCCACCGTTATCTAGGCCGTCAAACCCTAGTATATCTTCTTCCCCATGTGCTTGTTTATACATTTTTAAAATCAGATTTGTATATCTAACAGAAAATTAAGGCTTTTTTTTTAATATATAGGTTATTGAAGATGATCAAGAAATTGCTTCATATATGTTTCGTAGGACTGTCCCTTCTATGCACCTATCCCCTGAGGATGTAAGATGGATGGTATGTGCTTTGCTTTCACTTTATTGTCCTTAGGGATGTACATTTTATGAGCTTCACTCAAACCGCTAAGAACTTTCATATTGGCTGTTACCCAATATGTTCACTATCATCATCTGATTCAAAGATTTAAGACATGGAATGGTGATTGGGTGTTGGTTACTTGATTATACTGCACTTTTATACTTTGAAATAAGTTGGAGTGTATATCCTAAGAATGATCATCTCCTTGTATCGTTGTAGGTCCATTTTATATGGCTTAATTCGTTTCTGTTGCTAACTGTCATTCGTGAGTGATTCTTTAATCTGGTTGTGTATATGGATGCCTTGTATTGGAGAATATGTGGACAGAACAAGAGTCCGTTTCACTCTATTTGAATATGACTTTTACTGTGACACTACACTAGCTATGGCTGGTTTTGAAGCATCTGACCTGTGTGTGAACTGTAAATTTAAAGATCATCTACAGCCATTAATTTGGTAGTTAGGGTGTCTGTTTATAGTAATCTTCACTTTACCTTTTTTGTGGTCTGTCTCTAGAGTATACTTTATAGTAGTCAAATCCCAGTATAATCATTTGGTATAGGTTCTTAATATAAATCAGACCCATGTTTCCCTCGTTGATTGTTTTAGATGTATCTTGTGTTTGGATGGATGAGCGGGGATTTATGGGGAAATATGTGATTTTATGTTGTTGTATGACATCTTTCTCCACTGCAACAATAATTTACCTGGTGTAGGGGTATAGAGGAGAGAAATTTCTAAACAAATCCCGGTGTCATATTGGTCAAGTTGTTCTGACTCATATCTGTTTTCTCCTTTTATTGGTATCTTGAATTACTTAGATTGGAGCTTGGAGAGACAGGATCATAATATGCACAGGGACACATGGACCTACTCCTGCTCTTATTAAGGCCTTTCTGGACTCCGGTGCCAAAGCTATTGTTTGTCCTTCAAATGAACCTCCAGTGTCTCAGTCGGCCAATATTGATGGTTACAAAGAGTTGAATGCGATGGAAAATGGAAAATTTGAAATTGGAGAGGATGAAGCAGATGACGAGAACGCACCAAGCAGTCCAGTAAGTGATTGGGAAGATAGTGACCCTGAGAGAAATGGGGACCGCACTTTGTCTTTTTGGGACGATGATGAAGAGGAACTGTCACATTTTGTTTGCCACTTGTATGATTCATTGTTCAGGGAAGGCGTTAGTATCAGTGTTGCTTTGCAACATGCTCTGGCCTCGTACAGAAGAATGAGGTATGTGTGCCATCTCCCCGGCGTACAATAGTTTTGATCACTTGATCTTAAACAATAAAAGGAAAGATAAGAAGCGGAGTCTGTGTAATAGTCGATATCCAATTATGAGGCTTACAAAAAGATGTGCATTATAGTTGTTTACATATCCCTCACTATTCAGTTTCTTGTTCATTTCTTCCTGTGTAACTGTATTGACATTGGAGGAGGATTTTAGGGCTTCGAATTATTTGTATTATAGTCACACATTGCCATACCTTCTTTTTTGGGGAATCAGATATCCTTAGGGTGAAGAATTAGAGACCAATTTCTCGTGATATTGAATTTTATTCAAGGGATTGACTTCATCCTATGAATGTTTTCCATATAAAGAAATTGTCACACAGCATGGCTGTTAAGAAGATTAATTGCTTCTTTTCAAACCCTCGTAGTTGTAGCCGTCTTTGTACTTCCTTCCAATTAAAGCTGAGGTACTATTTACACGTAAGTTAAGAGTATTTTAATATGAATTAATTTAAAGGTAAGTATTTTATTCATATTAATAAAAAATAAGATTTGAATATTTAATTTTAACAATGGATATATCGTTATTTACTATATAGATACGTTTGCTACAAATTATTTCTTTCATAAAACTTAATATATCAATTATCACCATCTTTTTAATATTTTGGTTGTATTTAATTAGCCAGTTTGTGAATTATTTGAAAACAATTAATAAGATCTTGACTAAAAATGATAATTAGGCTAGGCCTGTGGCTATAAAAAAAGACTAAAAAAAAATAATCGGATTTTTATCTTACAATAAGTTGTAATTGTTCATGGTTTAAGTTATCATAAACTAAGTCTAGGAATTCAATTATAAAAAATTTTCAAAATCCACTTCTCATACTTTTTTAATTTAAAGATCTAATTAAAAAAAAATCAATAATTAGGAAAATTAATGTTGGTTGATCCAGTTAACTTCTAAAGGAACAATTCACAGAGGACGGAAACCAATAACTCAATACAATCCCTCTGTTTGGAATGCTTGACATACAATTAAAAGAAATGGGATTTTTTTTTCTGTGCACGAAATTTGTCAGCAGTCATAGTATCATGAACAAAATTAGTTTTGATTTACAGAAAGAAATTCATGATAAAAAAACATCCTACCAAACAACTTAAAAAATTTGAAAAAAAAAATTAAAGTAGCGCAATTTTATCTCAAAATTTACAAGTTTAAACAAATTATGAATTTGAGTAAATTATATTTTGAAGTACTTCTTGAAAAAGAAATAGTACATTTAAGAATGACTTTATTATATATATATATATATATATATATATATATATATTAATTTTATTTTTTTATTTGAAGATATGATTTTCTTGGATTTAATATTTTTTTCTGATACATTTAGAATGGTAGATGGCATGACTACAGTAAAAAAAAAAAAAAAATTGCAGTACACAGCAATAGTGATTAGCAAGTGGGACCATGGTGATACTGAGGGACTTTGTATTGCATTGCGTTGTTGATTATAAAACACATTGACGCGTACCCAGTTGAAAAATGTGCAGGGTTCTCAAGAAATTGGAACGCGGTATCAAGCTTTTCAAATGTTCGAGGTTCAAGAAAAGGGAAGTAGCAGGTCTTGACACGTTAAACTTGTTTCCAATCGCATGCATGTCCCCTTCCATGCAACTCATTTGTGCTTCAGGTGCAAGATAATAAAAAGAAGAAGAAAAGAAACAACACGTATCCTCACCTTACTGTTCTTCCTTCCAAGATCTAATGCTGAAATCAAGGCGAAAAGGTAAGAAAAAAAAATGGATCTAATCAAATGGGGTTTATCATACCACAAAAGTTAAATATACCTACGGACTTCATAAGTCCATGTACAAATAATGGATGATTGAGGAATATAATAATTAATAATATCCATTATGATGTCTATATTTTTTTATTTACTGCATTGGCTATTTTTTTCCACACATGCTATTGAATTTCCTGGCTTTTATGCAAATATTCCATTGCATTTCCAGCTGATTATGTTATTTCATCTTCTATTGCATTTTTCACTATGAATTTGCCTTTACTCCTACTGTATCAAGCAATAAACTATAATCACATTAACGAGAGAAAAAAAAAAAGAAGACAATTTTTATTGAATAGAGACCTCTCAAAATTGGTCGTAAGATTTTTTATTTTTATTTGCTAAAAAATGTATTTCTTTTTAAAACATAATCATGTCTTGTTAGTATGTCACTCAACTATAAAAGTGATCAAAGTTGACTGTAATTTAAAGTGAAAAAAGAATCTTAAAACAGAAGAATTACGAGCAATACAGCAAATTGCTAGACCCCATGCCCAAAAAGCACACAACCAAGACAATGAAAGATCAACCTCTTTCTTTCTTTCCTTTAGCCAAGGCATAAAAGGTGGAGAGTGAAGATCAACTTCGACTAGAAGCTAAAAAGTGAACCATTGATTTTGAATCTGTAGAAATTACAGAAAGCAGTTCCATACATACTGTGATCAATAATTTTCTATGTTACCGTAGTGTGCATAACAAGCAAGCTATTATATAGTTAGAGAAGTCAAAACGATAAAGTGTGATGCCTGAAAAACAAATGAGATTTTATTGCAAATGTTAGGATAATACAATGTTCTTGTTCACTTTATAAAGTTTCAATCATGGAACTTCATGCTTTTCATAAAGCATGTTATTATCTACCATCTACTAAAGAAGATGCTCCAAATTTAAAATTAAATTTAGGATGATGGCCACAACTATCTTCATCTAGAAGCGTCCTTCTTGAATCCATTTCAACAGTAAATTGAATGCACTATAAAAGCATTGTCACTGCCATCAAAACATATTTCTAGAAAGAATGGCTGCTCCTACTCCTGTTGCTATAGGCACAAGGGGCACAATTGGATCTCTTGTGAGGAAGGAAATTGAATACTTCTCCAAATTTGAGTTAGGGAATTCACAAGGGCCTCAACCACACTTTGTGGACATGGTTTCTAGCCGAAGCTATTCCACTTCCAGACCTAGTTTCTGGGTGTTTCTAATGACAGGGAAGAGAAGGAAGAGAAGTTGTAACAATGTGTTTCTCCCAAAAATGTGTTCAGTTGCAGAAGTGGTGGAAAGCAGTAAGTGGAACAGGGTTCCTGGTTATGGCTACAGAATCCTCAAGGATGACATCAACAACTTTCATCTCTGAGTGGATTTCAATCGAGTTTCTTGAATTAGTCTGCCCTTGTATCTCGAGTGACCCAAAACTTAAAGCATATTAATATTATTTTTCACTGTGTTGCCAATTATTAGGCAATTTTATTTTTTTCATCTTGGGGTTCATGTTGGTTTCAAGTTCTCTCTGCCAGATCCTCTATTTCTGATGCCTTTGGTATTGGTACTGTTCTTCTTTTGTTGCTTTCAGATGTAAATTCCGTGTTGTATCGCTTGCATGAGTAGATTCGACCTAATGCAGAGGAAATATGGAGATAGCAAGAAGATGAAGGATCAGATAGTGGTTGAATGGCAATATATGATCTGTAACCACTTTTGTATTTCTGAACGAAAGGTTTAAGCATTTGTATTTATGAACATGTGTGTAATTGGGCCTACATGGCTACATTAACATTTGCGGACTTGGATTGAGGTTCTTGTGAGTGAAAACAGAAACACAAAGTGCAGATGAAAGGAAAACAAAACAGATGAATTAAGGATCTAAGTTTGTGTGTATACTTTAAACCTGAGATGACCTCTTTGGGATGTTATTTACTGATTGGTCAGCAATGTGTTATGCTCAAAAGAGAAAACTGGTTTGAAATTAACATCCTTTGTAGAGAGACTCAGGTACCCTCTATGCAATGAAGATTCCAAGTATCAGTAGCAGCAGCTGCAAGCCTGTTCTCAAAACTTTAGCTTTTATCTGATAAAAACCATAACCAAGTTCAAGAAGACACAGCATGAAATAAGAAATAGTGAGCATCAAGTTGGAAGATTTATATTTAAACAGGAATGAAGTATTTGGAGCTTGAACATATTGTAAGATAAGGGTATTGCAAAACTTATAATGTGTCCCATTAACCTAGAACATGTTCCACTAACTAAAGGTACTCCACTCTCCCATGTTTTTATGTTACATCCACCTATGATGTTGAATGAGGAGATGAGTTTGTTACTCATGTTACTTATACAACTCGTGACACAATTTTACTAATTCTCTTTTCTCTCTTTTTCCATTCCTTTTATCCTGAGTTTATTTTATTCCTTTAAGAGTTACTTACTAGTTTTTAAGATTCTCGGAAATTTCGAGAAGTTCCTATTGTATCTTGGAGACTTGCGCAATACACTGTGATAAGTCCTTAAGAGCAGTGATTATGCACACATCGGGAATAAAGTTTGTTCGTGTCTCTGTCAGCTTTAACAACAATTTTAAGGACTTATGGCTGACAGTATAGATATCAACAACAACTCTATACCCTTCAACAGATTTTACAATATTGGATGGTGAAAGAAAGAAAACGTGCAACAGACAAAGAGAGAGGTTGAAGAATAAAAAGATTAAAAAACAAATTCTCATGGATTAAGATTAGTCTTCCTATTATGACATAATAGAGAGATTAAAAGAACAAATTCTTATGGATTAAGATTAATCTTCTTATTATGATATGATTCATGTATGTTATTATGTGAGAATCAAGAATCAAAAGATCCTGAAGAGTAGTTTTCTAGAATGAATTTAGGGATTTCTCTATCATATTAGAATAAACCCTAATTAATTCCTAAATTTGTTTTCCCAAAATTGAATAAATGAATAAATCCTAATCTATGTTTTAAGTTGCAATCAATTTCAAATTGAAACCAATTTCATAGTCCATGTGTGAATGACATGTAATTCTTATTGAAATGTGAATGACCCGTAATTGATTTTAAATGAAAGGCAAATTATGTGATTGAGTTAAAGGTGAATCATGTATGAAATTGATTACTGCATGTTATAATTATGATGAAAGAAAGGTAATCAACTGTTATCGACATGCATCATGCAGTGTGCGCACAAAGCACACCTGTTAAACACATGTTCCTTTTTTGGATTTATTACACCAATGCAACAGGAAAAATGAATTATGCATGAGTATTATATGTTGTGAGAGATTATTTTGTTGACATATTATTTTGTACATACGTATAAGAAAGAGTTTGAGATTGTATGAAACCGATGGATCTAACCCCACTTTACTTTCATGAAGAAGGGAAATTGCTTTGTTTGTGGAAAGTTAGGTTATCATGCACCTCAGTACAGATGTAGAATGAGAAACGACAATCCTCCTAAGGCAAATATAGTCGAAGGAGAAAATACAATAATTGCGCTTATTTCTCAAATAAACCTTGTGACAAATGTGAGCAATAAGTGTTTTTGGTCCCATCAGACATACATGTGCAAACAGGAGTGCGTTTACCTCCTGTACTGTGTGAATAGAGAAGAACATGTTTATCTCGATAATTTCAGGACAACTCCTAGAAAAGAAATTTTTTTTCTAAAAGCTCACATCTAAAAAGACTTTGGCATTGAGTGATGTGCTACATGTGTCATTAATTAGAGCTAATCTAATCTCTGTAACATTATTGGGAAAAGTTGGGGTTAAAGTATCATTCGAGATATTGTGATCAAGGTTTTTTTTACTTAACATATCTGAGGTTGTTAATGAATCTTGTTTTGCTTATATTATTAATTCATATGATATGTGGTATGTTAGACTAGGACACGTGAATTCTTGGTATGTTATGAAATTGCAACGATTAAGATTAGTTAATATTGATGATAAACAAAATAAGAAATGTGATATATGTGTAGAATATAAAATAACTAAGAAAAGTTGTCAATGTGTAGAATGTCAAACTAAACTTTTAGGATTAATTCATACTGATCTAGCTGATCTAAAACAAATCACGTCAAGAGGTGGTAAAATTATTTTGTGACATTTATAGATGACTACTCTAGATACACCAAAGTATACTTAATCAAACTGCTCTAGTGCACCTAATAACCTTTAAGAGAAGATCTATTTACAATATTTTTTTAAGAAAATTGGTAAAACTCCCTACTAGTTATGGAGATCTAAGAATGTGGGGTGTCTAGCTAAGGTAATGTTACCCAGTCCGTAAGATAGACTCTAAAACTTCTGATTGTATATTCTTAGGCTTTGCAGAATATAGTGCTGCCTATAGGTTTTTTGTCCTCAAGAGTGATGTAATTGAGCATAATACTATAGTGATGACAAAAAATGTTGAGTTTTTTTTAATATATTTTTCCTCTAAAGGTTAGTGAAACACCTAAACAATCTATAGATATTAATAGTGATAAAATATATGAGGATTTGAGGAGAAGTAAAAGACAAATGAAGGAAGTCTCCTTTGGAGATGATTTCTACACTTATCTAGTTGAAAATGATCCAATGAGTTTTTTAGAGCCTAGTAGGCTTCTAATGCAATACATTGGGATAAGGACATTAAGACTGAAATTGATTCAATTAAGAAAAATAATACCTAGACTTTAGTAGATTTGCCTAAAGGGACAAAACCTATTTGTTATAAGTGGATCTTTAAGGAAAAATATCATCCTGATGGATCCATAGATAAATATAAGGCAAGATTAGTAGTAAAGGATTTTACTAAAAAGTCTAACATTGATTATTTTGACACATTTGCCCCTGTGACTAGGATTTCCTCTATTCGAGTTTTGTTACCTCTAGTAGTTATCCATAATCTGGTTATACACCAAATAGATGTTAAAGACAACTTTTTTGAATGGTGAATTAGAGGAGGAAATTTATATGACTCAACCTGAAGGGTGTGTTGTTCTTGGTCAAGAGAACAAAGTGTGCAAAACTTTTAAAATCTTTGTATGGATTAAAACAAGCACCAAAACAGTGACATGAAAAACTTGATAGTGTTCTACTCTGTTATGGCTTTTCAACTAATGATGCTGATAAATGTGTGTACTCTAAAATTGAGAGTGGTGAATGTGTCATTATATGTTTATATGTAGATGACATGCTAATATTTGGTACATGCATTGACATTGTCTCCAGAACTAAGTTGTTTCTAAGATCTAAATTTAAAATAAAAGACATGGGTGAAACCAATGTAATTTTGGAAGTTAAAATCACAAGAAGGGCGATAGTAATTTACTATCCCAAGAACAATACATTGAGAAACTTCTTAGGAAGTTTGAGCGTTATAACGTCAAACCAGTGAATACCCCTTATGACGCTAACTCTAAGTTTAAGAAAAATAGAGGAGACTTAATCTTTCAACCTCAGTATGCCCAGGTAATTGAGAGTTTACTGCATTTAATGAGCTTTTCTAGACCTGACATTACTTTTGCAATAGGTAGACTGAGTAGGTATACTCAATGTCCTAATCAAAAACATTGGAATGCACTTGTAAGACTTATGAGATACTTAAGAGGTTCAATGAATTATATCATTGAATATAGTGGATTTCCCGCTGTACTAGAAGGGTACACTGATGCTAACTGGATCTCTTATTTAGATGAGACAAAATCCACTAGTGGTTATGTATTCACACTCAGGGGTGGTGTGATTACATGGAAAACAGTTAGGCAAACAATTATTGTAAGATCAATAATGAAATCTGAATTTGTTGCTCTCAAAATGGCTGGTAGTGAAGTTGAGTGGTTGAAAAACTTCTTACTAAACATTCCATTAGGAATGAAATCGACCCTGTCTTTATCAATACACTGTGATTGTCAATCTACAATAACTATAGCTAAAAATAAGAACTACAATGGAAAAAACAAACATATACAATTGATACATAATTTAGTGAAACAGCTGCTAAATAATGTAACAATTTCCATTGACTATGTGAAATCAGAACGGAATCTAGCAGATCCTCTGACAAAACCCTTAGCGAGAGATATGATTTTAGAAACATCGAGGATAATGAGACTTAAGCCACTTGCAAACAAACAGGTGATGGTAACTCAACCTTTGTGATTGGATATCCCATAAATAAGGTTCATATGAGTAAAACAAGTTTCTTGTTAGTTTTGATAGCACTAAAATTGATTAAGATCAATTATGTCTATTCTATATGTAAAAGTGCTAGATATTGCATCTTTGAGAGGTTAAACTTTGTAATTAAAATTCTATGTGATGTACAAATTTTAGTCTAAACAAAATTTTTAACGATTTCATATCTCTTAGAGGTGGTGTATGATTTGCAGCATACGCTTGATGAAGTCACCTATATGAGTGTCGAATGAGGCCGCTTATATGAGATCTTTGCAAGATTTCTAGAGCACTCATGAATACCGGACACGTGCATGACCTAGTAAGTAACACAACGGTAACAACAAAAATTGTGTGAGTGTATTGTGATTGTTAAAATCGCTAACATACACTAAGTGTTTTGGTTCATATAGCTTGTTACACCAACTACACTGTGTTAAGTTTTTCAGTCTAAGACTGTTTCGTATAGTTTGTTATACCAGCTCTGATGCATTACATCTTATATGAGACGCATGATTTTCTTTTTTTATTCTTTATCTCTTTTGTTTTGCAATATATAGGGGATTGTTGTAAAACAAGGGTATTGCAAAATTTATAACGTGTTCCACTAACCTAGAACATGTTCCACTAACCCAAAGGTGCTTCACTCTCACATGTTTTCACGTCACAACCACTCATGATATTGAATGAGGATATGAGTTTGTTACTCATATTATACTTATAAATAAACTACTCCAAACTCGTCCAATAGACACAATTTTACTAATTCTCTTTTCTCTCATTTTTCATTCATTTTATACTAGGTTTATTTTATTTCTTTAAGAATTATTTGTTAGTTTTTGAGATCCTCAAAAATTACGAAAAATTCCTATTGTATCTTGAGATATTTACGTAATATACCATAAATAAGTTCTTAAAAACAATAATTATACATGTCTCAAGAATAAAATTTGTTTAAGTCACTAACATGAAAAATAAGCTACCACTCACCAAATTGTATTTACCATGTACAATTCTTTTTACATGAAAACAATGGTTGCCAAGTGAAACATCATGGATCATAGAAAGTAGTGGAGAAAGCCAAGCCTATGATTGGATTGAAAAAACAGTCAAGAAGTAAATAAAAATGCACAGTTAATAATTATCTACAATTAATATTATAAATATTATTCGTATTCTTTCTGAAATTAAAAAAAATAAAATTGTTGCTATTATAAAACGGTGGGATAACTATTAATGTATGGTGTGAAGAAGAATAAAAAATCTGTTTCATATAGTAATAATATGATTTTCATAAATTTTTTTTACAAGGAATGAATTCTTAATAACATTTATTTAATTTTTTACCAAAATTGGGTATGGCCTTCGACAATTGTCATATTCTGACCTTATAAAATGTCGAGTAAACGACACTGCGTTTTGGTAGCTCCCTTTACTTTAAACAAGTAGCCGTCTAAGGGCAACGAAATTCAACGCCGGACAAACTTCAGTTCAACACCGTCATATTTCAATCCTCACTGTCAACTAAAACCCAAAAACTTGTCCAATCTCTTTGCGTAGTTCCGCTGGAGAATGTTTCAATAATGGTTCTGTTCCGCAAGCTCCTTAAAGCAATACTCGCTGACAACACCACTCAAACCAAAGCCCGAACCTTTATCACCTCTATTTCCGCATTCCCCTGGTACGCTCCTCACCACAACAACCGCCTCTTCCTCTCCCCACCATGTAACAGATTCCTCTCTCCCGGCCCATGCCTTGGCCCAGGTCCAGGCCCAAGCCCAGGCCCTGGCCCTCTCTTCCTCAATCGCCCCCCGTGGAAACTGTCTCAATCCGCCACCCCTCTCTATTTGCACGGAAACGTCGTGGTTTTCCCCAAGGTTCACCCCTTCAATTTGCTTCGCTCCACATCTCCTCTTCCTCTCCGCTTCCCTGATCCTGTTCCCTCCAATTCCGAAGACCCTTCCCTTTTCCACAGCTTCGTCAATCTCCCTAATTTAATTTCCTTCTCCCGTTTACTTTCCGGTCCTCTTCTCGCATGGTACCTCCATTTTTCCTTCTTTTTTCTAGAAAAAAAAAATTATTTGGTGAAATTTGCATTTTTTTTAACACAGGATGATCTCCAACGAGTTGTATACTTCAGCTATTGTAGGGTTGGCTCTATCTGGAGCCACTGATTGGGTCAGTATCAATAAAGAACGTTTATTGCTTTTAATTGCTGTGCTGCAACTGAATGAACATTATTATGCACATGCTAAACTTGTTTGTCTTTATGTTGTTGTGTGATTCCAATAATTGATCCATAGCTGGATGGATACGTGGCTAGGAAGATGAAGATAGATTCCGTAGTGGGTTCCTACCTTGATCCCCTTGCTGACAAGGTAGTCTCCACTCTCACTCCCTCCTTCCACTTGTGTTTTTGTTTCATCTGGTGTTCTTCGTTCGTTGGTTAAATTAGTATCTGAATGCAGGTTCTTATTGGTTGCGTTGCTCTTGCCATGGTGCATAAAGATCTACTACATCGTAAGTGCATCTGCTTGCTTTTTTGTTGTCTATTTGTGGTTGTGTGGGTTGGTTTTTAAGCAGTAGTTGGCGTAAGCATTTATGATTTTATCGAAGATTAGAATAGAAACAAAAATACCTTAGTATTAGGAGATGACCATGGTTTCAAAAAAGGGTCTGCTACTGTGACTTTGAAAGCAATGTCAAGTGTCTGTAACAGCAATTGTGGCTTCACTGCCTCTATTTTTCCACAACTTCCTGGAATATGAGGAATGCTACCATTGCAATTTAAAACCTTGGCCATAGTTACTAATTTAAGACAAGGATATGCACACATATCTCTCTGAGTGACATCTCCTGTTGATTTTTCAACAAGATATTTCAATGTGATGCTGGCAATCAGATTCAATCTTCATTTAATTATGTGTTGCTTGGGCTGAATGATTTCAGTGACTGAAAGGATGCGTTGGCTCAAATATTGTTGCATTATTTGGCATTTATGATATTACCATCTATGTTATGTAAAAGTATGCATTCTGGTTTTCTCATTTTGAAGCTGGACTTGTTAGTCTTGTTGTGTTTCGGGACGTCTTCCTCGTTGGTGGTGCAGTATTTATAAGAGCAAATAGTTTGGGTTGGAAGGTATGAACAATGTGGTTCTCGTGTTTTCCTTTTTGGTTAAGAAATTGCATAGTCATCAAGTTAAAACCTTGATGTTGTGTGTTTCTCTCAGTGGAAAAGCTGGTTTGATTTTTTCAACCTTGATGGGACTGGCCGCCAAAAGGTTGAACCGCTCCTTCTAAGCAAGGTAAGCTTGATGGGTGCTTTGAGTTTGTCATACAGTGCATGGTGCTGGACATTAACTACAGACTGGTTTATGTATACTAGTTGTGTTGCTCTCCTTGATAAATGTTTGGGGTTTTGATTGAGATGTGCGGAGACAGAAAATTTCACAATGTTGGACTGGTTTTTTTAACACTTGCAATGAGTTTGCCCTTCCTTAAATTGAACCGACTGTTGGAGTCTGATTTATTAACATGATTGGTTAGTGTAAGCATATATATATATATATATATATATATATATATATATATATATATATATATATATATATATATACAAGTAATTAGAATATTGTTTATCAACATATACACTACAGGATGAAAGCCTCAGCTTGTAATGGTCGCAAATTTCTGACTTTACAAAACCTTCACTCTAGTCCCTAACTTCGCAAAAATCCATTCACTAAAATGCATTTAAAAAGGGAAAATAAAAATGGTATCTAGTAGTAGATTAGAGAAGTAGGTTATTCTCTGATGGATAACCTGTCAAAAGTTCCCTTTTATTTTTCATACTTCTTGAGGAGGAATACAAATTTGAACAGGTGAACACAGTGTTCCAATTAGCACTAGTTGCTGCTGCTCTTCTTCAACCAGAGTTTGGAACCCAGGAAACACAACCTTATATTACTTATTTGAGGTAATCTTCTTGTGAGTATTTTATGTTTCCCTTCTAGCAAGTCTTCCCAGATGAGCTCGAACCATTTTCCTGGTGCAGTTATTTAGTGGCTTCGACAACAGCGGCAACTACTGCAGCATATGGAGCACAATATTTTAGGCGATTTGCAGTAGTATCAAACTCGGTCTAGTTGAGTTTCCATTGAGATGCAGAGGGATCTGCACGAACAAAGGACCCATTGCACAGTTAATTATAGCTATATATATATATATATATATATATATATATATATATATATATATATATATATATATATATATATATATATGCACAGGCTTTGTTTTCAAACATTGCTTTCTGATATGAGGACAAGTGTTTCAAGTGTTTTCATGTAGTGACTAACAAATGTTAGATTATTTTATTTATTTTCCTTGAAATTCTGTGTACGGGAAAGTTTAAGACGTGCCGTTCTCTTTAATGTCATTTGAACTTATTTTATCACCCCATACCAAACCCAAGTTATAACCTGAACAAAAATTGAAACATTGCTTTCCTATTGTTACAGACAGTCGTACGTTGCCAAATTTCAAAAACTACATAAAACGAAAAACGAAGGTAATTATTTCCGTAATGAGAATTATAAAGAAAAAAAATTATTAACTCTTTATATAATTTAATTTAATTCAATTGGATTGGATTTTTTTTTATTCACCAATTTAATTTAACTTAATCCAATTATAATTGAATTGGGGTGATTTGGTAATATTAAAAAGAATATATTATTTCATATGCATAAATAATAATATTTATATGATAAAACACGAAAAAATTATCATATATTTATTTTGTGATTTATCTAACCAGTGCCTTTATACAAATCAAAGAATATTAGTTTTAATTTATATATAGAAAAAATGTAAAGTAATAAATGATTGAGATAAATTAATTGATAAACTAATAAAATAAAAAAACATTAATTTGTTTATTTATATATAGAAAGATACAAAATAAGAAATATATTTTGTTATTTTTTTATAACTTTTTTTTCTCTAACTGATTTTTTTCTATTTTATCTTGCATTTATTATTTTTACTGTTTTCTTTTTATATTATATAGATTTGTAAGAAAAAAATAATAATAACAATATGGATCTACTTCACGATAATTTTTTATTTAATTTAATTTTTCATATTTTTTGTCCATTAGAAAGTGTCTGACTTTTTTGTTTGTTTTAATTTCACTATAGTGATATAAATGAATAAAATTATTATATCTTTTTTTCTTATTACGATACTTTATTTAAATTTCTTTATTATTATTATTATTTTGTTTAAATTCTCTTTTTTTTAATTTTGTTATATGTAGGTAAAAATTAAAAGAGAAAGAAAGAAAATAAATAATTCGGTAGTAATAATAATTAAGAGAAAAAGTTAGATAAATAGAGTAATTAATATTGTTATTTTATGCCTAATGACACATATTAGTCAAACTCTTTGTTATATTAGGAATTATTATGTAGTTGAGTTGAATTGGTTCAAACAATTTTAAAATTATAAACCCGTTATTAATCTCAATTTTAATTGGATTTCTTATGAAAAAATTGATTAACTTTTTCAACTTAAAAAAATATGTTTAAACGGTGATGGATAAGATCAAGATTTAGGTCCCTTAAACCCTACTCAAACAGTATTTTATTTACAATACACGTCGAAATAAAAAATTAACTTAATTTCAAGATGTTATTATACACATTAAATAATAATAAAAAAAAAAAATGAGGCCTATCAATCTTATACATAAATATTTGACGTCTCGTCAGGAAAGAAACCAACTATACTTCAGAAAATAATCACGCAAATAGGCCATTGATACTTGGGGTATGTTCTCAAAGTTTTGACACATTTATCTTATAAACAGTGACTTGAAAGATAAAATCTCCATAAGTACCTTTATTTGTGCTGATATTCAAAGATTCTATCAGATTATCTGACCCAACATGTTGAACACAAGTTAACATTATAATATAATATTGGGTTAATATTTATGAGGAAGAAGACAAAAATAAAATTCGAAAGGACCCAACAGGATTTGAACCCGACGTGAATCGAACACGCAACCTTCTGATCTGGAGTCAGACGCGCTACCATTGCGCCACGGATCCTTGTTATTGTGATTGCTAATTATCTTATTTAACTTAATAATCTCTTACACAAAGATCATTACTCAATATCTCTTAACTTTTTAAAAGTTTTATTATGCACATCAATTATTAAGGCAAATTTCTAAATCTCGACCACTAGGCTTTCTTTTCTTCAATGATTTATTAATGAAATGATTACATTACTAATCATTGAAACTATAGATCTAAGAAAAAAAAAGTATAGATAAGCTGATGCAATATTGTAAATTTGAGTTTTTAATTTTATATTTTTTAAATCCCATTAGCAGTTTCAGCTATAAAAAACTATCTTCCTCTTGCTCTGGCCCATGGCATATGCTTCCACAGAGAATAATTTTTGTCTGTTCCTTTTCTTGCTTTGTTTCTTTTTCTTCTTTGTCTTTGTATTAAAAAAAAGATTTTGCTAAGATGACGGTATAGAATAAATTGTGTTTGTGCTATTTTGGTATAAGGATTTTCCAATAATTGTATTAAATATGATATTGATAATGTGTTTTCTGGACACTTTTTGCACAATTTGATAACTTAGGATGCTCATGATTTTGGAGTAATTTTGGAGCAATTTTTTTAGGGAGAATTTTCGCACAATTGATGTTTTTGTTATTTGTTGATTATTTAAATTTACTATAATCATAACTTTTTATCTTGAAAGACCACTTTAAGTCATAAGTGTAACAAATATAATATAACATTACGTAAGACTCTTTTAAAAAAAATAAAAAAATCTTTGGTGTATATTATAAATAGAATAAAATATTTAAATGGTATAACTTTAATTTTTATATTATAAATTTTTATTGTGATTTATGGAAATTTTTTAACACAGTTAGGGCAATGTTATTTTGTTAATTTTTAATTAATAATTTGTATTTAATTTATTATAATAATATACTTAAATTTATTTTTAAATATTATTTACTTAGTTTAGATTTCCTTTCTCAAAATATTTCAAAGAGTTAAACATATATGCATAAAATATTTTTTGATCTCTACTTTTAAATAAGGTGTGAATTTTAAAGATATCAGAATTTATTAATTAATCTTAATAAAGATCTAAAAGATTTCATAATAAATATATTTGATTCAAGTTTATAAATATTATAAGAATACTAATTTGTCATTTGAACTAATACCATATTTTATTATTATTATTATTATTATTATTATTATTATTATTATTATTCTAATCTTTATTATTTATTTATTTCAATGATAAGTACGAGATTATTAAAATTTGTGTACATAGAAATAAGTTTTTAAATTTTAATTAATGTGTTTAATTTTGATATGTCAGTGGAGTTAGAATTTGATTGAATCAATTTAGTTCAATCTGACGTAATCTCTTTAATATTGGTGGTTGATTTTGTATATTCAATTCGAAATTTAACTCTTTTTCATTAATTAATATTATTAAATAAGATTAATATTATTAATAACATAGATATTTTTTAAATTTATTCAATTATTAAATTAATTAAATATATTTTTTAATTATTAAATTATTTAAATATTAAATAATATTAATATTTAAAAAAATTATAAAAAGTGTTTTAAAATTACTTTGTTTTATAAAAACTAGTTTTAAATACATATATCAATAAGAATTTACACAACCAATTAAATTTAAATTATTTTATACATTTTTAAATGATTATTGTACAAATTATTAATATTTTACTGTATGATAGTTTATAATTAAATGAAAGTGTAAGTAAAATTCAACACAGTTAATAATTTCAATTAAATTTAAGTATTTTGCATGGACAGAAATATCATTTGGGTCTATCATTCATTTATTTTTGTGTTGACTTATTTCAACCTAAATATTTGTTGTTGAAAATGAAATTATAGTTTAAAAATATTTAAATCTATTTAAGACATAACCTTTTTTTAACATCTGATTTTGTCTCGACCCATGGACAAATGATACAATAAGGTGCTGGAAAAGCTTTCCGAAATTGGCATGAAACTTGCGTCCTTTTTCAATGTTAAAGAAAAGGTCATGACATGGTTTTATCATTGGTCTCCACTATCCTTTTCATCATTATTCCATTAGAGTTCCACGTGCAGGAATAACAGGAAGCCACGCCATCTATAACTATGTCATATTAATCCACTCAAATTATATTGCATTTGAAAAAAAAAATTAATTAATTTCTACCGAAATATAATATATATTTTTAAACTTTTTATGTTTATAATGAAAACAATCACCACGAGAATATACTCGTCATTTGAGATTGATGATAAATGTAATAGAGGGTGAAATTATATGTCACGTTTTATCACATTTGATTTTTATAGAACCTATTTTTTCTATCTAACTATAAATTTATTTATTTATTTATTGAGTAAATTGTAATGTAATCTTTCATTTTTTAAAATATAATATATTATGCTAAAAATGATTTTTATAGCTTGAAGTCTTAATTTATTTAGAATTACATGTTGGATAATTTATTTGCATACTTTTTAATATATATTAGAAAATTATTAATTTTGATAAAAGTATAGAATATTATTCTTTAATTAAAATGATATTATTAGAAACTTTATATATAATCGTGAATTAGTATTTCAAATATGGTATTATTATATATGATTTTTCTTATAAAAATGGTTACAATTAAAAATAAATCTAAAGTCTTACGGCTAAAATAACCTGAAAGAAAAAAAAACCATTAAAAATAATATTTTTTTTATATCATGAATATTTTTTATAACATATTTATTACCATAAGGATATTAGCTAATATTTTTATTTAATATAGTAAGAGTAAAATAATTTACTCAGGAAAACTTTTAAAAATATTGAGTTTTAAAATATAAGCGCTTACTAAAATATCTTACAAAATCATTTCAGTAAATAAATTGATTCGAACAAATAATTAGGTAAACACCTTTTATTGTCAAAATCTAACATTCATTTGGGAGAGTCACAACTAAAGTTAAAAAGAAGTATTTAACTTTTCAACCCTATTATTTATTTCTTTTATTTAGTTTTCATATCAATAAAAAAGTTAATTAAATTGTTTAATTTTAAAAATATAAATATCTTTCATAAAATCATTAACAAACTAGCGACGATTTATAAAATTAATAACTAAAATTCAATTAACCAAAAGATTACAATAATACGTTTTAAAAGTTAATTAACAGATTAAATTAAATTTTAGAGTGGCATTGAGACATTTTAAAGATAAATAACTAACAATAATTTAAAATTGAATATAAATAATAAGAAAGTAAACACCATGAAATAGTCCCAATAAAATTTAAAGATATATATTAAAAAAAATGTGAAAAAAACATCTGCATTGATTAAAACCATTCACTACATTTTTTTTATGCTGCATGGTTTTGGTAATGATTTATGACATCTTATTATAATCGTTTTAATCACTTTAAAAAAATAATATTAATATGCACAATGAATGTTAGTTGATATTAAAAGTCAGTATTTATTTTTTAAAAGCAATAAATGTGCTGCATTACTTTTGTTCTAAATTAATTACAATTTTAGTTATATTTTTTTTTTCAAAATGACTTACACTATCTATGTTTTATTAAAATATTTTTTTTTAATTTTAATGTGTTTAAATCAATCACTTTTTATTTTTATTCAAAATAATATATTTATGAAAAGAGTGCATGATAATCTTAAACAGTATTAAAAGAAGAAAATAAAAGAAATATTCTACTCGAATTCAAAGGGAAGTTAATTGTGTAATTTTTATCAATTGGGTGGTTCTGATAATGATGAAATTTGAAAATGAGGGTCGAATTGAAAGGATTGAATAATTAAGGGTGGTGAAAGTAATGCAGTGGAACCAACCACCACGAGTGTGGGAGTGAGGTTGAAGAAGCTTAGTTGAGAGTTAAGAGAAAAATAGAGAGCGCGCGAAAGTTGTTGTTTCCATCACTAATCAGTGAAACAGGCCCACACACACGCACCACATTCCGTTGAAGACTGTCTGGTAAACTACCCCTATTATCTTTCTCTCTCTCTGTCTTTCGCACACTCTCACTCACCCTTCAGCGCGAGCAACATGAGGAACCTGCTACTCAGCTTCGCGCCTATGGAGATTGCTCCTATCTTTCTCATCTTAACGTGGTGGGACCAAATCAACGCCTCCACGCGCTGGCAGAGCGCTGTATTCTTCTTCCTCTGCGCTGCTTATGCTCTCGTCTCTTCCATCGCTTTGGTACATTCGTTATGCTCTTCTCCTTCTTCAACTGTTATTTTATTAGCTGCTTTTGTTTCATTCTGTTCTGCACTGTTGTTAATTACTGCAGGTTCAATTGGTGAGAATTGAAGTTAGAGTGCCTGAGTATGGTTGGACAACGCAGAAAATTTTTCATCTCATGAACTTCATTGTCAACGGAGGTGATGTCACAATTCTTGCTAGTTTCAGGATGGACAAAATTTAAATACAGTTGCTTAGCTGTTATTTGAGTAGTGATTCGATCAGAATTGGAGTTTTATCCTTCTTTTATTCAAACCCTTATTTTGTGGATTACCGAGATAAGGCCACAATTTTAATTGTATACAATGCAAACAGTTGATAAGGAGGAATTGTGGCTTAAGTTTTTTTTTATTCTTAGGATTGTTGCGTGTTTTTTTTTTTACGTTTGTTTATTTGCTCTTGCTTTTGACTTTTTTGAATTTGCAGTGCGAGCTGTGGTGTTTGGATTGCACAAGCTAGTTTTTCTTTTGCAGCCTAAGGTTTGTTTTGCACCGTGTCGTGTGATATTTCGGTTATGATTGCAAGGCTGGTATGCTGACATGGAGTTGCTGCTTGTTCCTTTAGGTGTTGATTTTGGTGCTATTAGATCTGCCGGGACTGCTTTTTTTCTCAACATATACACTTCTAGTCCTTTTTTGGGCAGAAATTTATCACCAGGCAAGCTAAAGTTCTCTTTATTCTATTGAAAATATTTAACTGTCATGAATGAGTACATCCCTTTTTGAACTAAATAGAACCACCTACAAAATAAAAGTAATAACTAAACTATCTGTATTGCATGATCTAGGAAATTCTAATTTGATTCTCATTACTGAGCAGGCGAGGGGTTTACCAACTGATAAGCTCAAGATAGTTTATATTTCAGTAAATGCTGCCCTATATATTATACAGGTATCCATCTCATTTTCTAGCCTGCGCTATTTTTTGTGTATGGTGGTATTTTCCTTGGTGCACATCAGTCATACAAACAGACTGGATCAAAGCATAATCCCATCTCCCCTACACCTGCAATATGGTTGCACTTTCAATTGAACTGTCTATCTTTTGTCTGAACTTGAAACACTTCACAGTTTTTTCTTCCTGCATATTCCCTCTTTTTTTACATGAAATAGTTCTCTTTATTTTGGTTTCTAATATCACATGATGTATGTAGGCCAGACACAATCATGCTGTAGCTTCTCATTTTTATGACCTGTTATAGTAGCAAAATTTGGGCACTCGCCTACACCCACTTTACTGGAACAGAATTGTAGTGGTCCTTACTCCCTAGTATGGGACATTTTATCTAGATTGAGATCTTCTGGCTTCAAGAAATATCATGGCATATGAATTTCCAGGAGACTTGTTTGTATGTGTAGGTTGCTAACCAAATATTCAACCATAACTTATTTGATTTGGAAATTATTGGTTTTAGAAAGGCAATCATTTTTGTGCATTAGTTATGGTTTACTACGTCTAGTTTATGCAAAATTCATGTTGTGCAAAGCATAAATGTTTCAAAACAAACAGGAGTACTTTCTTTTATATTCGGAAAGGGTGACTCTTTATTCATGTAATTCCCCTGAGGAAAAGGTTAATAAAAAGATATTCATAGGTGGTCAGGATGATGTTAGTAATCATAATATTAGTGTGCCTTTGGATTTAGGTTTGCATTTGGATATACCTCTGGATAGATGACAACAGTGTTGTGGAGTTCATTGGAGAGATATTTATAGCAGGTTAGCTTTCTAATCAAAGGTTTATTACGTTAACATGTTTCGCACCCACTTGTGAGTTTCAGAATAAGTTTTGCCACCTTAGAATAAAATTTGTATATGCGTAGACATCTTCTAAAAATGTTTCCCCCCATTTTTCATCAGTTGTATCATTTATGGCTGCTCTAGGCTTCTTGATATACGGAGGAAGGTGAGGCTTCTGCATTTTGTCTGTTGTCTATGAATTAATAGCTCTGGGGTCTTTGTTTCATTCGCTCACCACTGACTGGCAATTCATGGTTGTTATGGGTGCTTTTTTATTTCCCTGTGGAACGCATTAATTTTCTAGATTATTTTTTATGCTGAGGCGCTTCCCAATCGAATCTAAGGGAAGAAGGAAGAAACTTAATGAGGTATGAGCATTTTCTTTCGAGTGTGTTTATTTGGTAGTATTATTAGTATCTCTTCGTGCAAATCATGTTGTGAGACACAATTTATTCATTTTCTGAAAAAAAAAGGGTATTATTTATGACGTATTCAGGTTCCCTGGATAGAAAATGTTTGCCTGTTGTCTCATCATTTCTATTTTTTCAATAAATAGATCTTCCAAACGTACACACCAGATACAAAGGTTTTGGGAATGGGCATGAGAAAGTGTTTGCATGGGTTAAATGTTCTATAAGTGTTTGAATGCACAGGGAGTTGGCTTTGAATGAAGAATTCCTTTGTTCCCTTCATTCAAGGTCGGACAAAGGATGAATCTTGGGAATCTTATACCTCTTTTATTGATTTTTCTAATTTTTTTTCCTACCTTTTCGTGTGAAAAATTTAAGTTGTGCTCCACGGCCAAAACTTAAAGCAAATGATGGAAAGGAATAAGTTGTTACTGTATTCTAATGCAATTATTTGTGATACAAATGTCATCAGTTTTAATTTGCCTGCTTTTCCTATTTATAAATCACAACAAATCAACATACTTTCCATTTTAGGTATAGACATTATTATTTGTATATTACATTATATAGTAGACGTTCTATAATAGTACCCATTATAAACAATGAGGTTATGTTCTGTAGTACCTTTTGAATTAGAATTAGTATTCATCATTTTGTTAAATGAGAAGAACCCCTTCTGACCTTCTGTTATATTCCAAAAATATAACAAAATGAAATTGAAAATAAAAAAATTTGTTCATATCAATATTACTTGTACTTATGAAACACAGACTGGGTATTGCAGGTTGGATCCGTTACAGCCATCTGTTTCACCTGTTTTCTGATAAGATGTGTTATGGTAACTTCTGCCTTTATTATTTTAGTCATCTTTTTAATGTTGAAATAAACATTTTCATATGCATGTCGTGTAGAATTTTATTTCTTATCTGCTTGTCTTCACATTTTCATGTGTTATCGTTTTACACCATTAATATGATAGTCGTATCCCCCCTGCTTGCACCATTAATAAGAGAGGTTACCATCAGCAGACCAAAAAATATGTTAACGTTTCTGCTAACTTTTAGTGCTGCTGTAGGCATTTGATTCTATTTGTGTCATATCTGAGTTTATCAATAGTTATAGTACATCTAAATATAAGGGTTTCACTGTGTACTTATTTTGTTTATTTTTTTAGTATACTTCATATTAAATACTTTTGCTGTATAATTCTTGGAGATGTATTTTTTTCTTCTCTCGATGACATTAGAAAATATGAAATGTGTTGTTAGTCAGAAGGTGTAGAGTTTGAAGATGTTTGGGATTAAAATGGCAATAATTTTGTTCACAAGACTTTAGATATGGAATTAATTAGTTGGACATGAGAATCTCCTAATGTGGATTTCCACTTCAATACTGTTTGACATGCTCAAACAATTTTAGATTAGAAAGAAGTAATTGCGAGAACATGAAAGAACATCTAGAACTCTTTAGTGCTCCGTGTGATAAGAGTGGTCAAACGCAAAGTATGTACTATGTGGAGATGACTTTTTGGGAAAAAAGAAGTCAGCCAGTTAAAGGCTTTGATGTGAGAACTAAAGCAGAATACCTTCTTTCTTAATCACTCATCGATTTGCATGCAGGGTTTTCTGTCTGCGTTTGATTCAGATGCATCTCTAGATGTTTTGGATCATCCTATTTTGGACTTGATCTATTACATGGTATGCTACTCAATTATTCCTTTTTGTTAATTGTTACTTTAAGTTTGATTTGTCGCTTTCTTAGCATCTGGAATTTTACTTTTCACTTTTCAATATGCAGCTGGTTGAGGTCCTACCTTCTGCTTTGGTGCTCTATATCCTGCGCAAATTGCCCCCAAAGAGAATATCAGCCCAATATCATCCTATCCGCTAATTGTTGTTCATAACGGATCCTAATTTATTAATTTACGTACCCATTGTTTATGATTTTGATTTAATGGTTCCTGGTTAGATAGATAGTTTTAAGTTCATCAGGAAAAAACAGATAAAAAAAAAATCAATCCTGATAAAGTCAGATGGCAGCAGTTCTTATGTGGGTGATAACTCCGCAGTTGTTGCATGGAAAGGATAATTTGGATTCAGGTTTTGCGCGGTTTATACGCGATGACAAGTCTCAAGAGCTTGGGTTATTTTCTGCAATTAGCCGAAAGAGAAAAGGGGTGGGAAAGAGTGATTTATCATGTAATCTGGATGTTGTAGTGTTTCAGGCACAGGCTTGTCAATGATACATCTATTTACTCCAAAGTTTTATACAATGCTGAGTGTCTTAATTTGGATATGTTTATTAGTTAGATATACTTCAACTTGGACAAAAAGAATATTGTCTCTGAATGAATGATATGATGAGTTTTGATTATGCAACAAAAATCAAGATTCACATATTTCATAAAATCTTAGAAAAATAAATGAAATATATATTTTTTTTACCATGATTCGCTTTTAAAGTTGCAACCTTTTTGTTAACTAACATGAACATATATGAGAACAAATTATTATTCTATAATGATTACTGACTTTTATTGTCTTAAATGATAATTTAATTGTCCTATAAGTCTTCAAAGAAAACTTCATTAAACTATAGTAAGGTATTTGAATTTATTTAATTTTTAAAATATCTATATTATGTACATTATTAATTATTATATATAATTATTATGATTAACTTTTATATGTACAATTTTTTATTAGTGTATAATATTCTTATAACTTTACTTCTATTACAATAATATTTTTGTAACTTTTATTGTAGTGACCGTTATAATATTTTTTTATTAAATATTATAAATGTGAATATACAAATGCTGTTTTTATTTATTTTATATTGTAATAATTATTTTCTATTAAGCAACATAATTATAGACATGTAGAACCTATATTTAGTAAAAATTAATAAATAAATTTTAAAAATAATATAACTAACTTAGATATCAATTTTGATATCGCGTTTACGAATATTATTTGACAAGTAACATTAATAATAATTATTTTTAATTTTAAATATTTAATATTTTTTATTAAAGAATAAGGGTTTATTTTGATCAATTTTAAAATAGAATGTTTTAACAGAAAAAAAATAGAAACAAAAATCATAATATTCTATTTTGAGAGGATTATTACAGAATTATTTTAATTTTAATTTATGACCTGATTTTTAATGTATACATTAACTATATAAATTGCTAGTGTTCATACACAAACTTATGCTCACATATCCATAGAATAAAGAAAGTATATCAGTTGAGTAAAGTATAAATAAAGTTCATATATGCATGCATGTGCATAGCTGCTAAAGCAAACGGTTATGGAGATTTGAAATTCAAAATTCAAAAACACATATTGAACTGAGCACATTAGTCCACTCTTCTATCTGTTTCACTGCCCGGATTCCGACCAAACACGAGCACCACACTGAGATGGATTGCGACGAGCCTCCATCTCCCTATCCCCATTCTTCCTCTCTTCTCAAGGACATCTCCAACTTCACCACTCCCAGACGTCCCCCATTCTCTCTCACTACCGCCCGATCTCCCACCACTCAATTCTTCACTGCCTCCAAACACTCCTCCACCTTCAACCGCCGACCCAAAAAATCATCCACCGCAGCCACCTCCAAAAAACTCAAGGCCTTCCAATCGGAGCTGTCCCAGTCCTCCCGTAAGGCCCAAATCCAGAAGGAGCGCTCCCTCAGATCCCTCGCCAAGTCTCTCTCCGTCTGGCTCAACTTTCTCCTCCAAAACCCTGATTCCTGTGGCTGCCACTTCTCCACTGCGGATGCTTCCGTTCCCGCTACCAACGGCAAGCGAGATGGTACCCCTGGAATCTCCGTCGTTGGCGTTGATTCCACCTGGCGCACTCCCAAGCGCCAGAGGAAGACTTGGTCAGCTAAGGAAAATGCTGCCACGGGGGTTGAGGTTCCTGATTCTTCGTTTTCGCACCTCAGTGATTCTCTCAAGGATATTTGCAGTTTCGATGATTTGAAGCAGCGAATGAGAGTGTATTTCAGCCTCACAGCTTGTAAAGAGATCTTCCTACAAATGAACCGTGTAGCCAAGGTTCGTTCTCTCTTCCATTAATTACCATAGGCTTCGCAATTCGCATCAAATTTATATCCATTTTGGTCTTTAGTTATTAAACTATGTGTCAATTTCCTTTCTTAGACAATTGACGAAGGAAGACTGATTATGAAGGCGCATTGCCCTATAGTAACTGATGTTGGGTTGAAGGATAAGGCCATGAGAATTCTCATGTGCTATAATTCAATTTGGTTACGAATTGGAATGTATGTAATTTTTGGCGGTGACTCCTTGGTGTTAAATGGTGATGTTGATTCTGATCATGATGCTGTGTTTTTGAGAATGGTAGTCGACAAACTATTTTTTTCGCATGAAGGTTTAGCTAAAGCCCATGCTTATAACAAAATGGTTGAAGGCGTGTATAGGTCAGGTTACTATGAGAATTTGGGGAATGTGATATTGAAAAGAATTTTGTTGCTTGTGCTTATTCTGGATAAAGCTAAATGCCAGAGTTACCTCCCACTGGAATATGGTATTGATGGATTGGATGGGGGATCTCCTTTGTTATTCAAACCAGAATCCTGGATTAAATCAAGCAGTCAGCTGATTCATGGTAGGTCTTCTTTCATGCTTCCCGAGCCTACTCTTATTTTCTTTTAGTATTTCGTAACAGCAAATCTACATTACATTTTAGTTTGACTTTTTTTTTTTTCGTTTTTGATTGAAAATTAGAATTTCTATCATCTGATGTAATGCATGGAGAAGGCAATCTTCTAACACATTTGATGATTTTAGGTTACAAATTATCTCATCAGCAGGTCAGTTTATCATTCCATATGCCATTCCTATTTACCTGAGTGAGGTTGTCTGTTAATGTAAGCGTGAGCTTTAACATATATGTGTGGAGTTCAGTTCTTAGTCTTCGGCGATTATACATGTAGTAGAGAACAAATATAGTACATGTTCCACTTTAATGTTAATGGGCTGATAAATTTGTGAAGAAGGACACTGTAACAAGTTCAATATATGTTTTATTTGAATGATTTGTGATTTTGTAGGAACCTCTTGTTGAGTATGATTTCAGGATCAGAGATTTATTTGTAGATCTTCAAGATGGATTAAAATTGTGTAGAGCGATTCAGCTCTTGCAGCATAATTCTTCGATCCTCATGGTTGGTTATATATATTTTTACTTGTTGGAAATGATGCAAGCATAACTTGATAACCCAATTAGTTAAGGATTGTAATGCATCATTATTGTGTGGACAGAAAATTGTAGTTCCCTCTGATACTCCTAAGAAAAAATTATCAAACTGTGGTCTTGCTCTGCAATATATTAGACAAGCTGGTGGGTCACTACTTGATGAAGATGGCATCACGATTGTGGCAGATGATATTGCTAATGGAGACAAAGAACTTACACTTTCCTTGCTCTGGAATATGTTTGTTCATTTGCAGGTGGTAGTTCTGTTTTACCTTAGTTTTTAAGTTTCTGCACTTGCGTTGAGATTTAATTTATAGCCTAGACTGCAATGAAAATTTTGATGCCATTGGACCTGCAGCTACCTCTTTTGGTTGATCAAACAAGTTTAGTTGGGGAAATTTCTAAAATTCGAGGAGGCATGGTATGTTCCATGTTAGATGAGCTCTGTGGTTTTCTTTAATAATAAAATAAAGAATTGGCTCCTCTAAATTAATCAAGAGTAAAGCAAGTAATCTTAATAGTTGGTGAGCATATCAATTTTTGATATTACGGCACTTCCATAATTTTTTAGAGGAGCTGGATTCATAAGAGAATATCTCCATTTTTTCCACTTTAAGTTCACAACTTATATTATATTCGAGCTTTGATTTTTCTTTCATCTTATAGGGTCTCGTAAACAATGCAAATTCTACCTCTATGGAGTTGCTTTTGAATTGGATCCAGGTACACTCCTAGAACACTTTCATAAAAGCACAGTAACATTTCAGCTTTGATACTTTTTCTTTTTGGTTTAGCAAGAGGTTAATCAGTACCGATGAACATAATATTTCTTCTGAATTTATCTCAATGCTGGTTTTGCTTTAGTCTTTCTTATTCCAAGTTCCAACATTTTTAACTGATATTGTGTTGGTGGGTAGTTTGATAAATGCAATTTTCTTTTGTTTTGTTTAGGTGTATGCACTCCGTAGCTAGTGTTCTTTGATACTTCTTTGTGTGCTGCACTTTGTTTCAGGATTTTAGTTTTATTTTCTTGCTTGAGCTTCAAATGGTGCATCTGTAATTTATGTGATCTTGGTATTTAATTAAGAAAAAAGTTCATTATGTTATCTGCATTGTAACCTTGTTTTTCCTATTTTGCAGGCAGTTTGTGACAACTATGATTGTTTGATTGACAATTTCCATTCCCTTGTTGATGGCAAAGCTATCTGGTGCTTACTTGATTATTACTTCCAGAAAGAACTTCATAATTCCTGTTCATTGAAGGTCTTAAACTTCTTTAGGTTCCTTCTGACTTCTGATAATAATATCTTGTTCATAAGCTTTATTTTTCATTTCTAACAGGAAGTTAGTATGAAAAGTGGCAAGGCATCAATTATGTCTGTTGATGAATATTCAGATGCACTATATAATTTTATATTATCCCAGAAGTTGACTACATTACTGGGGAACTTCCCAGAGGTGAATACCCTAATTTCTGTTAATATCTACTTGCATGCATGCAGAAATTGTTGTCGAGACATGGTTAAATCTCTTCTTGGTAACTGATCACTGATGTACTCTGATACCTACTAGTGATTCAGTTTCAGACTAGTTGATTTTTCAAATAATTCCTTTAATGAAGAACATTCGTTTGTATATCTAACAGTCATGCTGAAGGCCTATTAGGATTAAACCTGGACAAAACACAAGATGCACAAAAATATGAGCTAAAATTTAATTATAATTATTGGTGTGGGAAGATAACTTCGTCTGATTGAGGAACATAATGGTCATTTTCGTAGTTGTGCATGCATGATAAGAAATATGCTTAATATGTGTGTAGTCAATAGTGTATACAATGCATTAATACATGCATACATGCATGCTTGAATTCATCTAAGCTTTTCAATATGAGCTTTTACAGAGCATTGGTGCCGGAGAATTTTTTTCATACCAAGAAATTACTATTCCTGGGATGGGAATCATAATTCGTAGGAATGACTAAATTTTGTTCAGTTGATCGAAAATATTGTTGGGAATATTTATCTCGAAATTTACTAAAATCATTAATTTATTACAATATTAAATGATTTTAAAAGGATAACACGGTATTTTGTCACTTATATTTTTATTTCAACTCGGGAGAGCTAAATTCTCAATTCCCTCCCTAAGAATGTCTCTGTGGAAAACAAGACCCAAAACCATTATCGTGAAACTATTATTTTTCAGGAAACAAAAAATTTCCCTTCTACCAACCGCATCCTTATATATAGCTAATAGAATACAAGGAACACATACTGGTATGTGATATTTATTAAGAACCAGAAATGGAGCCTGAACACTTCACAACCTGAACCAGAGCCTAAACTCCCAAGAGAAAAGTGTTTTTCTCTCTTAACAACAAAGCGCAAAATGCATAACCAACTTCCACAGGTGCCCTTCCCCCCTCTATGTTTCTATTCTGCAGTCATACTCAACATACCAACGTACATTTTCCAAATTCTTTACCTTTCGGAATTGGAGCCCAAATTCTGGTTCACTACAAGCTATCAATACTGGAGCTAATTCTATGCATATTAAATTATGATAAAAAAGCACAATCAATATATGAATGTACTTCGATGTAACCCAAAGAAAAAGAGAAGAGATATACATTTGCTTTATCTCACTGGATACTATTGGCAGTATAATGGAATTCGTGTATACTTTCTTTCAGGTACTTCATATTAGTGAGCTACTTCAATATAATGGTGCTTGCAGCGATCGAAGTGTGGTGATTTTGTTGGTTTTCCTGGCAAGCCAATTATTTGTCAAGAAAAACTTGGTAAACAGAATAAAGGTTATGATCTCATTTTGTTGCTGTTGTACTCTGGAATTTGTGTTAATTTGTATTTCCCTTTCTTTTCTCCTTCTCAGGATCACTTAAATTTCCGTAAACTCTTGTGTCATGACTGCCAAAGTCCGAACCATAGACATTTGAGGATGCTACGGTGCCTTTCGAATTCTGACTCAATACAAAAGCATCATGCTTCCGATGTGCATGGCAATGAAGGTTTGTTGACTCTGGCTGGTTATTTGAACTTTAACTATTTATGCATGACATCTGTTTGTGTTTATTGATCTATTTTTATGTATATTGTTCTATTTTTATGTATATTGATTAATTTGATTTTGATAAATGGGATGACTTTTGCATGTATAAAGTCTGATATTACTTGATCAAATTATTATCTTATCCGCATAAAGCTACTTATGTAGAGATCTTACTAGTTGTATCATTTGGATTTCTCTTACTCTGGCATCACGAATGAAAGTGAAAATGATTCAGATTGATTTAAAACATTAGTAGGTCAGTTGGGATTTATAAAACATAATCTCCTTTTACATAGGTTTTCCAGGAATTATTGTTAGCCCGTTTGCAGTTGTTCCATTGCATGATAGTTGGCCCTTGGTAAACAACAGCGTGCCATCTTTCTTTTCACATATTCTGTGACAATATTTTCATTGTGATTATATATTGTCCCAATACAAAACATCCAAGATCAATTATAATGATGGTGTGGTTTTATTCAAGAAATAATTAATTTTCTTCCATCATTTCATGAAAATATTTGATCAAAATCTTGTTATTTATTACATAGATGCCGCGAGAAAATTCAAGGCCATCCAAGCTTGGTGGCAAGATATGGCTGAAAGAAATGGTCTCAACAAACCAGCTGTCTCTAATTTGCAGGGATCCAGGACCACTGAATGCAACATCAACAATAAAAGAGGTAACTATTCAGACTTGCATAATCCTACTATTCGCCATAAATGCATTTACCACAGCAGTGAAAAAAATACTAAATCGGATAGATTGTTACTTTCTTGACAATTATTCCTGCAAAGTAGTGTTTAGTTCAACTCCTGTTTAGAGATGATAAAACGGACTAGGCCTGGTAGGCCAGCCTGCCAACCCGCCATAAAAATAGCATGGCAGATTTGTAGTTTTAGTCCATCAGCTCATTTTAGCCCGTCTCGCCTAGCCCACCAACCCGACGGCCCAAGGATGGGACGAGATGAGACGGGTTGACCCGCTGACCTACTTTAAAAAAATATTTAATTAAAATAAAATTATAATTAAAAATATTATATTTTTTTGTGTTATATTATTGAAAAATATAAATATATTATAATATTATAATTCAAATTATAAAAATTAATCAATTAAGTTTAAATTATTGATTATAATTAGTTATTTTAACACACATAGTAATTTTTTTAATTTAGCTAATAAAAATATTAATAAATAAAATCTTTAAATCTATTTATATAATTATTGGCAGGCTAGTCCACTGGCTCGTCAGCCCATCCTTTGGCAGGGTAGATTGGAGTCTGTGTAGCCTGTCCTAACTATGGCAGGTTGGTCTGCCCTATCCTGTTTTCGACGAACTAGAGGTAGGACAAGTCAAAACGGGGTAGACTGACCGTATTGTCATTCTAACCCTAATTTGTATTTATTTACAATGGAATTGAGTGGGTACTTGCAACAATAATGAACATATTTGCAATTGAATGGAAATAGACTTTAGACTTCTTTGTGTTTTCGACCAGGAATATACAGTCTTTGTACTTTTCTTTCTTCGTGCCATTGCTTAGAAAAAGCATGTGGTTTTATTGTTTTTCACTCTATATTGCAGCTTATTAATCTGCTGTAATTGCATGCAAAACTTGTGTCCGTGATGATATCTGTTGTTTAGCTAACAATTGGTACTTCACATTTTCAGAAAATGCTGCAAGAACAATACAACTGCATTTCAGAGGATTGGTTGTCCGGTGGAAGTTTCTGAAGATGGTAAATGCCGTTACCCTTTTGCAAACTGTTTTCAGAGCTTGGCTAAAAGTGAGGCAAGAGTCAGTCTGTGTGATATTATCCACTGTTCAAGTCTGTGACTCTTCATATGGTAAGCAGTTTATCAGTTTGTCTCAAACATTTATCTGGTGTGGTGTTGTGTTTCATTACTTATAGGCCTGTCTTGTTTATTAATCCCACAGAAATATTGAAGCAATCACAAACATATCCAGAAATATTGAAGCAATCACAAACATATAAGAGATATGCCATGCTTTTCATTCATAGACGTTCCTTTTTGAGGTTAAAGAGTTCAGCACAGATTATCCAGAAAGCAGTTAGGAGTTGGCTCTATAGGAGGCATCAGCATGAATGTAGTACAAGTCATGTTCTTTTGATTACAGATATGGTGGCGGCTGCTATTAATGTTCAGAAATTTGTCCGTGGTAGGGTGGCACGATCTAAATATATTCATCAGCTAAATCAGAGAGAGAAAGCTTTATTTTTGTCCCAACAGAAAGTCAGTTTCCATCTTCAGACAAATGCAGCCATTGTCATTCAGCTTGCTTGGAAAAAGTTCATGTGCCGCAGGTCTGCTCAGAAGTGCCTGTTTGCAACTAAAATTCAAAGATATTTCCGTAGTTGGTTAAAGAGAAAAAGTTTTTTAGATCAGATTCAAGCTGCTGTAAAAATTCAATCTTATTTTCGAATGTGGAGATGTGTAAATGCTTTTCAGCTCTTCAAGATTGAGTTTAAGGCATCTGTTGTCATTCAATCTTTCTTCCGGGGCTGGCTTGCACGAAAGGATGCTTATGCACGTAGGACTCACTTGTTTGCAACTAAAATTCAACGAAATTTCCGCAGGTGGCTGTTGAGGAAAAGTTTTTTAAATCAGATTCAAGCTGTCATAAAAATTCAATCTTATTTTCGGATGTGGAGATGTGTAAATGCTTTCCATCACTTCAGCACTGAGTTTAAAGCAGCTGTTGTCATTCAGTCTTCCTTACGAGGCTGGTTTGCCCGAAAGGATGCTTGTGCGCGTAGGAATCATATTATCGAAATTCAAGTAAGACAGTGGCTTGCTTCTTATAATTATATTTATCTTCATTTATTTTGCATGGCTTTCCAGTTTTCATGAAGAAATTCATGAGTCAATGTGGTGTTACTTCTCTCGGTAACAGTACTGTGTACAGATGTTACTCATACATGGCACAGTGCATCTTCAACCTTCTTTGTCGTTGTCCTCAATGTTATGTTTCTTCTGAAGAAATTGCTAATTCCTATTATGTGTATTTTTTTTTTTTAATTTTAGAAAAATGTCTTACATATTTTATGCAAGTTTTAGTTTTAGAATATTATGTGACTTCATACTTGCGTTAACGATTTCAGAAGCATTGTCGTGGTTGGCTTGTGAAGCGGTACTTCTTGTTCCAAAGAGACCATGTAGTAAAGATTCAGTGTGTCATTCGAAGCTTGAAGTGCCAAAAGGCTCTGAATTGCCAAAAAGATGTTGCTTTGGAGATCCAGCGTTTTATAAGGGGCCATTTAACTCGGAATCAGCTTTTAGGTGATTAGTTAATGTTTTATGAAGCTAACTTTCCTTGTTTTATTTGTGTTGGTTTCGTATTATCTCACCAATACTATTATCTCATGTTTTGGTGATGTAGGCAGTGCTTTCAAGTTACGCACAGTTACTACTAGTTGCAGCTCAAGACCATTTGGCATTTGTAGTTCTCAATTGCAAATGTTCTTGTTGTCAGTCGTGAAATTACAACGATGGTGGAAGGGTCTCTTGTTGCTTAAGCTAATGAATAAATCGGCCATCATTATTCAGTCATGGACCCGTGGGTGGATAGCCAGGCGAAATGCTAGTGTTTACAGACGCCATGTTGTCATCCAAGTATGATATTCTAGTTGTTATCATGATATGCTATGCTCTAGCACCTGTGTATTTTGTTTGTCATTGCTGCTCACATGCTCGGGGTATTTTAATTCAACTGATAATACTATTGATTTAAATATATTTTAATTTATTGGGAAATTTGAGCAGAAGCATACCTGATATTATATATATATATATATATATATATATATATATATATATATATATATATATATATATATATATCCTAAAAGCAATGAAAGGGATCAAATAGTGTTTTGGGGTTTAGTTAAGTTGGCCAAATAGCATGTTTGGTTTCTCGTTGGGAACTCCAAAATTTGTGCAAGGGCAAAGCAACGAGGTACAATTTTTTATCCGAACTATGGTTTTACAAAAAACCAAATACATGCTAAATCTTTTTTTTTTTCTTTAAATATTAAACCATTATGCTGCTGCTACTACTGCTGCCTGCAACTATTGCACAAATTTAATTTATTTTCCGGTTTGCTTATTTATTTTTTGTTATTTTATGTTATTTTATGTTACTAAAGCATCTTAACTGCCATTTGCCAGGAAGATGCCGCGTTGGTGATTCAACGCTACATTAGGGGACATTTAACTCGAAATCGGATATTAGGTAAATTATTCATATTTTACGAGTGTTTCATGTATAATCTCATTAGGCTAGTAAATGCATGATTTAGTTGTGGGTGTTACATTTACTCCAGATACTACTATATCTTGTTATCCTGATGTAGGTGGTGCTTCTAACCTAAGTGCAGTTGTTCCAGCTGGCTGCATTTCTGAACTAGTTGGCTGTCGTAGTTTTCCCCTAGATCTAGTTTTGCTTTCAGCTGTAAAATTGCAACGATGGTGGAAGGGTCTCTTGTTAGAGAAGTTGATGACAAAGTCTGCCATTGTTATTCAGTCTTGTACTCGTGGATGGATAGCCAGGCGAAAGGCCTCTGTTCAAAGACATAATATTATTGTCATTCAAGTATAGTATTTTATACCACCCTGTAGTTCTTTTGTTTTTTAGTTTGACTGGTTGTTCACATACATAAATATGTGCTAGATTGGGGGGAGGGGGAAAGTTGTCAAATATCATTGTGCTGTCTTTTGCCCAGGTAAGTAAAGGGGGTAGTTTTCTCTGATGAAATTTCTTCTTTTGTTTTACTTTTCACTTTACATAACATTTAGTCTTATGATCCATTGTTTCACTACTAGATGGATCAATGAAATCTTTACTAAGTTACTGATGATGATTGTAACCAAATTTTCATTAATGTTTAGTTTCTTTTTTCTAGATTTTCCTTTTTTTCTCAATATTCCTTCTTTTTCTCAAAACTTTTGTAGTCCCACTGGAAAGGTTACCTTGCACGTAAAGAGTCGAAAGAGCAGTTATTGGATTTACGCTTGAGAATGCAAAAGTCTGCTAGAAATGTGGATGACAGCAAGCGTCTCATAAACAGACTCTTGGCAGCGCTTTCAGAGCTACTCAATATGAAGAGTCTTAGTAACATCCTTCATACTTGTTCAATATTGGGTGAGATTTTCTTTTACATTGCTTAATTTATATTTTGTTGCTATCTTTGTTATTTTAGGACGGCTCCACAAACATGCAGTATAATTTCTTCAAATATGTGCTCTAATTCTAATAATTTGCCCGACACGATTAAGTAAAAATTGGTATTTTATAATTTGTTAAGTTGGCCGAGACACTAAAAGAGCCGTTAGTTGCATTTCAGTGATGTTGTCTAAGTGTTCTTTCCACAAATTACAAAAAATATAGATTCGAGCTCTAGTAATGATGCAGTTTCACTTGTATTCATTCTTCACTTCGTCAAATATAGCAGTTCATCTTATGAGTCCTGAAGTGATAATGTTCATTCTTTTCATTTGTTTGTTTTCGTTTCCACAGACATGGCTACAGGACATTCTCAGAAATGTTGTGAAGAACTTGTGGCTGCAGGGGCTATTGATACTTTGCTGCGGCTGATTCAAACAGTCAGCCGGAGTATACCTGATCAGGAGGTTCTAAAGCATGCTTTGTCAACTCTCCGAAATCTCGCGCGCTATCCTCATCTTCTACAAGTGTTGATCCAAAGTCGTGGTTCTGTACAGATCATTGTCTTGGAGTTATTGAGGTTGTTTTAAAGTACCGAGTTGTAGTTAGGAGTTAAAAGTTTATGTATACAGTATTCTTATTCTGTTCTTATTATAACTTTTTATATCTTGTTCCAGGAATAAAAACGAGGGCTACTTCGTTGCTTCTGAACTTTTGAGGAAGGTATGCTCAACTCGTACAGGCGTTGAGGCGATACTCAAGTCCCCTGCTCTGCTAAAACGACTGTACGGTCTTGTTGTGGATCATAAACGGAAGGGAATTTACGAGAAAAGGTCAGACTTTACTTGATTTATTAGATTACAGGAATTAGTTTTAAAAAGCCAAGTTTGTTGATTAAAATCTAACGGGAAGCTTGGGGTCTAAAATGCAGAAATCATAGGGCTCCTAACCTTGTTATCAAAGAAAACAGAGAGAGAAGATTAAAGGAGGCTGCTGAGATTGTGAAGCTAATAACAAGCGCATGAAAAGTTTTTTTTTTTTAAACAAGTTCTGATGCAAGGAGGTTAATATTTGCTCGCTTCTATTTACATTCTGTCCTCGTCTCGTGGATTTTGGAGTGAGCTTCTTTTATACACATTTTATCATTAAGTTTGAAAGCCAACAATTAATAGAATAGAACCTCGATGAGCTTTCTGATGTTCTCTGCAGAATTGTTTTCGAAAATATGTGGATTTTCCCAATGTAGTGCTTTTATTACTGGCGGAAAGTCTGTGTCTGTTGCATTTCATAACGACTAACAACTGCAGTGGGTGGTGAACAGACTATAAAAGTAGCAAAGGAGAATAAAATGAGTATTTTCTTTATTATAGAAAAAAATTGCAATTATAGAACTTACAGATTAAATTATTGATTTGTAAAATGAAGATCTCGTTAACTTATTCATTGTTTATTGCCATATGCTAAAATTTGCGAAAGAATAGTGCGTAAATATGTTTCGGTCATAAAAACATTTATAAATATGAATTATCACTGTTAACACCGATATTAGTTAAAATATTTTGAGTTAAATATAATTTTACTCTTTCAAATATATATATTTTTTGTTAATGGTCCTTAAATAATTATTTTAGTTTTCCTCATTGTTATTTTAAAAGACTTGGGTCGAGTTTCAATATAATATCGACGTTGTTGATGTTGATAGTACCATATACTTACTTACTTGGGATAAAAAGAACATATTAAAGAAAAATTGGTATAATTTTAGTCCATAATCTTTTATAAAGGATAGTAATCACTCTACTTTATATGTGAAAAATATAACTTAAACATATTTCCTTTAATACATAATAATTTAATATATTATTTAAATAATAAAATAATTTCTTTAGATAAAATGTATATTTATTTTTTCATTCTTCGTTTAAAAAATTTAAATTTAATATATATATATATATATATATATAAGTAAATTTAAATTACTTTATTTAAAATTATTTAATTTTAATTGTTTTAAATAAAATAATTGAAATTTAATAATAAATTATTTTCATTAAACTCGTTGAATTGGAAAACTTATATTTTAGTATATCATGATTTGGAGTCATTTATGATTTTAAATCAACAATAATTTATATATATTTTTTATAAATTTAAATTAATGATAGTTTATATATATATATATATATATATATATATTAATAAATTAAAATGTTTCTTAAAAACATAAGAAAATTTTGAAATAAATAATACTTCAAATATTAAAATTAATCTTAAAATATTATATGTTTTTCTCGTTTCTAATATATATTTAATAAATATATAAATAAGTGCAAATTTATTAAAAAAATAAATTAAATAATTAGATGAAAAAATAATTGTTAATATTATATATAATAATAATATTTGTTTTTAACCATGAGAAATAGATATTTTAATTTAAGTTTCGAACAATTGAAACATCTTATCAAACGTTCATAAAAATCAATTAATCTATTAAAATTTTGAATAAAAATTAATTAATCTAATAAAATTTTAAATAAATCACAACAACAAAATGGAAAAACAATGATCGTCATTTTACAATTTTTTTCCTGAATATGTAGAGTCAAAGGAAACAATTTAATATATAAATAAATAATTTTCAATATTTACGTATATAATATATTTTATTTATCATGAAAAGATAAGTATATCAAATTTTCGTTACTCTTAATAAATCCTTTATTTAAAGATATGATGATACGAGGTTAATAAAATGTATGTATTTGTTGTGGAATAGATTGATGAATAAGTAAATAAAATAATATTTAGTTGTAGAAAAGATATTGTTGGATTTTATCTTTTTTTAAAAAGTAAATAAATATCCGTGTTGAGAGACAGAAAGAACGACACGCCTCACGGTTAGGGTTTGAGTCTCAACTACTCTTTAAAGCACAGTCTCTCGTTATTATTGCCTTTGTTCTCTTTCTCTTTCTGTTTCTCTCTCCTTTTTCTCTGTCTGTGGATTGGTGAATTTGTGGTTCAAGAAGATGATGCAGCCAGGACCCGGCATGGCCCAACAACCCAACCAGCAATACCCACAACAACAGCAGCAGCAACAACCCTATATGATGATGCAGCCGCAGCCGCAGCCGCAGCCCCCTCAGATGTGGGCCCCAACGGCCCAGGCTCCGCCGCAATCGGTGGCTCCTCCGCAGCCGACTAGCGCCGATGAGGTCCGTACTCTCTGGATCGGCGATTTGCAGTACTGGATGGACGAAAACTACCTCTATACGTGTTTCGCTCACACCGGCGAGGTATCTACGCTTTTATTTTTCAAATCACGCTCAAAGTTGATGGGTTTCATCTTTTTTTCTTTTAATATTGGTTAGATTTGAACTCGAAATTGCTATGGCGTGGTATTAGATTTAGAATATGTTGATATCAAATTATTCTTCTGCTTTGGTGAGGGTGGATACTGTTTATCCTAGAAATTAATTAATGTGGACATTAAACAAAAAACATACCGGTTTATTTTGTAAGATGTGAAATTCAGATTTTTTTAAATGCAGATTTGCGTTTCTGTTGTTAATATATTTTTTATAACTGCATATATCCGGGAGGATTTGATTGATTTAGATGGTTGTTATTGCATGTAAACAAGTAAAACTAATATTTAGTTGGTTACTGATGCATGTATGGTGATTGCTTGCAGGTGGCTTCGGTTAAAGTCATTCGGAACAAACAAACTAGTCAATCGGAGGGATATGGGTTTATTGAGTTTACCAGTCGTGCTGGTGCTGAGAGAATCCTTCAAACATACAATGGAACCATTATGCCAAATGGTGGCCAAAACTTCAGATTGAACTGGGCTTCTTTTAGTGCGGGAGATAGGCGTCACGATGACAGCCCGGATCACACCATATTTGTTGGAGACTTGGCTGCAGATGTTACAGATTATCTTCTTCAAGAGACATTTCGGGCACGGTATCCCTCAGTTAAGGGTGCCAAAGTTGTAATTGATAGGCTCACTGGCCGGACAAAGGGTTATGGTTTTGTTAGGTTTGGAGATGAGAGTGAACAGGTTAGAGCTATGACTGAAATGCAAGGGGTTCTTTGTTCAACAAGGCCGATGCGAATTGGACCTGCATCTAATAAAAACCCTAGCACTCAGTCCCAGCCAAAAGGTGTGTTTCTTTCATAGTTGTCATTGTTCTTGTTATGTTGTTGCAAGATCTGCCCACTGTGCTGCTTAAAGATAATTTAGATTTCTTTTTCTTTCAGATGCATGCTTTTTATTCTGTTAATGAATAATGATACATTCATACTTCTGGTTTGATTTAGTTCTTGAGTTCTTTACTTATCTGTTTTGTGTGTACCCAGATGCTATTGTTTAATTTACAATTCTTTTCAGTTACACTCTTCAAGAATTGCAGTCCAAACACATTTCTTCCTGTAATTTCCTTTAAAAATTTGGGCTAAGTAAATGATATTAAATAATAAAATCTTATAGAACTCCCATTGTCTGAAAGCAGGGTGTCAAGAGGCTCTGTCATCTCGGAGCCTGGAACTGATTTCAGCTGAAATGGTTACCATTTTAGTGCATGGCCTTGTGTAGGTCAGTTATTTGTTTATGTATTGCCCATTATTTTTTGTGGCATTTTCTTTTCTGCCTCTAATTACGCGTATTTTCTTTTCTTTTCATATTCTTCTATTCAAATTACTTTCATTTCCGTCCTCCATTCTTGCTCCTTGCTCCTTTAGCTTTTACTCCTTTGACATTACTTAAAGAACTACATCTTTGAGTTTATGTTTTAGCTTCCCTTAAGCAAATCTTGTTTACTTTCTACTTTCTTTTCTTCAACTATCTGTCTCTATTAATTCAAGTTTCCAATTTAGTCCACAAGCAATATACTTTGGGATACTGGTGGTTAGTGCTTTGATTTTGTAGAATTTGCACTCTGCCAGATGGTTTTGTTATCATGTCAATTTTTATTGTCAGAAGGCAATGTTCTGTCGCCATTCCAACTAAATTCTCAGCACATATGCAATTAAAGTTGTAATTTACTATCTATTGCTTAATCCTTTGGGAAGATCAATCCATTAAAATGTCAAGATGTTAAATGACTTGTGAAGTTTTATACGGTGTGTAGTAACAAGCATTTGACAGCTTCCCTGTTTGTTCTTAGTTTAGCCTCTGGCAATTCCTGATGTTTGTATATCTTAAATAATGTAATTCTTACAAGAGACAATATATGTATGTATAGATAGGTTGATAGATAGAGAAACTTTTTTCATCTAGAGAGAAAGGTGTCCTTTTTTTTTTCCACATTCCTTCTTTCATGTTGTTTTGTTTGTCGTATTGTTTATAGTATTTGCATTCTGTAATGGCAATAGTTCTTCCTTTGCATTGTGTTGACAAGTATTTCTGTTGATTTTTCTCATGGAATTTTCTCAATCCATGGTTTAGTTTTATGTCAGATTTCTTTTATATGTCGAGGAATAATTTCTCATTTGAATATTTATTAAGAGAGGGAGAGAAACTTTCTCCTTTTCTACATTCCCCTTGCAACCTGTAAGGCAAAAAGTCCCGCGCTTGCATTGTGTTGAATTTTCTCACGAAATTATCTGAGTTCATGGTTTTGTTATAATGTCAGATCATATTTATGTCGGTGAATAGTATTCCCATATTTTAATATTTATGGTGCAAGGTACTGAGCATGTTATTTGCTTCTCAAGAGGCTATCTTTCCCTATGCATGTATTTGTTAACTGAAAGTGAGGTAGATTTTGTATGAATGATGATGCATTTCTTATAGTGTAGTGTGGTGAAAGTATGTGGTGCATGCAAGGCACCTGTAATTTGTTGCTTGTGGAATTGGTTTATATAGTTGCATCTTTTTGGAATGAGTATAGAGTTGTGTTTGGGATATCTAAAGTGTCCAACTGAATGTAGCAACATTATATCGAAAAGTCATGCCATGCCTCAATAAAGAATATGTGCCTTTTTGTCTTCGAAAACTTCATGTATTTTGCCTTCTTCTTTGTTTGGTGTCTTTTTCACGGACCGCTTCCAGAATTTCTTGTTTAATAATGTTACCCATCTTTTTATTTTTACTTTGAACATGCAGCATCATATCAGAATCCTCAAGGGGCACAGAACGAGCATGATCCAAATAATACAACTGTGCGTACTTCTTTGCAATATAGAAACTGCTCTTCTTTGTTCTTGTTCATGACCTGAATTTTTATTGCAGATTTTTGTGGGCAATTTGGATCCTAATGTGACCGATGACCATTTGAGACAAGTTTTTGGGCAGTATGGAGAGTTAGTGCACGTGAAGATTCCAGCTGGCAAGAGATGTGGATTTGTCCAATTTGCCGACAGGTAATTTGATCATTCAGACATTTAATATTTATGTCGTTAAACTACTTCTTAGTCTAAATGCAGTGTCCTTTGATTGTGCCATGACTTTTCATGTTCATGCATCAGGAGCTGTGCAGAAGAGGCACTGCGGGTTTTAAACGGTACACTTTTGGGTGGACAAAATGTTCGGCTTTCATGGGGCAGAAGTCCTTCAAACAAACAGGTAACAACAAGTTTTACTGAACTGTTGGCATTCCGGTATGCATTTATCTGCATTCTGTTAACTGAATTTTTATGAACGAATTTGGATTTTGTGTATGGCTTTCAGGCCCAACCAGATGCAAACCAGTGGAATGGTAGTGGTGGTTACTATGGATATGCTGCTCAGGGTTATGAAAATTATGGTTATGCTCCTGCTGGACAGGACCCCAATATGTATGGCAGTTATCCGGGCTATGCAAATTACCAACCTCCCCAGCAACAACAGCAAATAGGATATAGCTAAACAAGTTCTGCCCCAGTTTTCCGTTTTCTTTTGTAATCCTATCCAATCCTATCCTATCTATGATACTCTTTCTCGTTCCTACTGGAATTGCCTCATGGAGAACAAACTTGGCTCATATTTTAGTTTCCTATGATTGCTATTAGCATTAAACATTATATGCGAATTTTATTTTGTACCCATTAAATATTGCTTGCTGAATACCTTGATGTTTATGCATCTTATGAGCTCGTCCACATTTGATATCTCGTAATGATTATTTGTAATACAGAATTTTGCGTTACCCTCGAGCGGGTGGCATATTGTGTTGTGTTTATATGATGCGCTGACGCTGACGCTGACGCTGACGCTGACGCGTATTGTGCTTGTTTTGTGGCGTGAAAGAGAGACGCATAGTGTAATGTTTTAAATAACATAAAAACATGTGAGAAGTGTTAATCTTTAAAGAGAACACGTTGGAAGGAACGTTGCCCTTACACATTATTTTATTTTATACATAAATTAATTTAGCTCTTGAACTATTTCATTTTTTTCATTAAAAAAATAGTACCCGCACTGATAGATGTTTAATAATCTGGGGATTACCAAAATGTTCTTATTAAAATAGGAAAATAGATTAAGGACGAAATTAATAATTTATTTTTCCTCAAATATAAGTAATAGGATTCTCTAAAAGTTAATATCGATAACATATATAATCCAAACAGTGTTCTACATTCTTGTTAGTGTGTTTGTTTTCAGTTCAATGTGCCATTTTATACGTTCCAATAAAAAATTTTAGTGAATTCACCTTGAAGGGAATTTTATTACATTTTTAGTTTCGTTAGCACTCTTGCTGAAAGTTAACACACAGGGTACACTTTTTTGTTAGTTCTTTATAGAAAAGTTAGATTCATAAAATATTAACCAAAGTTTTTACAATACTAAGTATTTTGTAGGAAATAAAATGGATTGGATACCTGATAATCCAATTTCTTAATTGGTTGATATTTTAGTTAAACTTAATCTATTCTCTAATCTCTTACATATTACGCGGCGGATTTATATTTAATCTAACTTAAAATGTTAAATATATTAATGTTAATAATAAATAATAGTAATATAATTATTAATTAATTTATTAAATTATTTTATTAATTAAATAAATACGATATTATTTAAACATTAATTAATATGATTTATTTTCTAAAAAAATATTATAAACTATAAAAATATTTATAAAGTATAAATTTTAATAAAAAAGTTTAAAACTTAATTAACCCAATTTAGTTCTATCTCATAAAGGAAAGTTTAGATTAAACTGAGTTTAGTATCCGTCACGTACGCCAACTAAATTAATATATATATATATATATATATATATATATATATATATATATATATATATATATATATATATATATATATATATTAATTGGATTGGAAAGTGGTAATTTTCCAACCCATATTAACTCCAACGTATTTTTAATAACAATGCATTTTTAAAAACAACTGGATATCACTTTACAAAGTTTTACCAGTTTTTTCTTTTCAGTCCATAGCAGAACCCAGAGGTTATAAATTAAAATATTCGTTTTAATACTCTCTTTCTCTCTGGTTCAGACATTCGTAAACAATGCGACTTTCAGCCAAACACTGATCAAATTGTTTATATTCATACAAGTAAAGAGATCATAATTTGCAACACTAGCAACAAGTTATATTTCTTCATGCATCAAGAGCTTAGCAACAAACAAATGACACTGTTCATATATCATTAATCTGCGTATCCAATCCGCTTGTATTCAGACACAACAGATAAGATTAAGAAGTAAGGGCGGCATAGGTTTATCATATGTATAACCAAACAAACTACTGAAAAGAATTTATTCAAAAAATCTGGCAGCAAAACAAAAGTAAAGCTGAGCTTTTTACCAAACTAAAGAAGAGAAAAAGCTTAGGACTTTAAACTACACATCTATATATGTCTACAGAACTGGATTTATTCTCCAGCCTATTTTCCAACTATGCTAGACATCCTTCTACATACTTTCCAACTAAAATTTTGAAGTGCCTAATCAAATTTGTTTCTTCTCAGATCCCATTGACTTAGCTAGAGATTCAGTAGGTTGATTAAAATCCACCACCTCATTCATGTCTCCAAGGAGGTATTGTTCTGGGGATCACTCTTCCCTCACAAATCATGTCCTACCAGTCTGTTCAGATGGCATGGATTCAGGTTGGCTGGCCTCAAGTGCTTGGTTTGAACCCACAACAGGAATATTAACATCAGTACTTGGTCTTCCAGTTGAGTTTGAGGTGCCAACATTGCTTAAAGTCTCATTTTCAAGCTTTTTCTTTGTATCTTCTGGCACATCAGTTTTTGGCGACTCCCGCTTCTCCTCAAAGTAGTTAACAGTTTCACTAGTGTGTGCAGACGGCAAGGCTTTAGGTTCAGTAGATAGAGGGATCAGGTTGAATTCAATATTTGATATATTTGATGCACCTCGATTCAGCTGATGCACACTAGGGACAACCTGCTGTCCAGTTCTGAGCTCCGTATTGGTGTTGCCAATTGATGGAACTAGGTTAATGAAATCAGATGCTGCTTCTGAGTCTTTTGTTTCTCTACCATCAGCATTAGATGCTTTTACCTGCGTGGAGGCATCAAGTTGAGGTAATGTTTCACCTTGTTTAATCATTTTGTCACGATCCAACTCTGGCATGATAGAGGTAGACCGATTCACATGTCCAGGCTCGGATGTCCACTGTGGAATTCCTCCACTGGAAATGGAAATGGAAGTGGGTATCAAAGTAGAGGCAGATTGACTCCCAGGTACTTCTGAGATACTAGAAGGGATCTCAGTTGGTGGCACTCGCTCTTCCGACACGAGTACCTGTAATTTTGGTTCAAAAGGTTGCTTGTTGCATTGTACTGACGGGGAAACAGAACCATGTATCTCTGGCTGTGGGTTAAGAACTGGAATAGCCATCTCTTTCCTTTTGATCATTTTGATATGTGGAGCCACATCATTTTCTACAGTAACTGGAGAAACTTGGCCTGGTTCAAACACAAGGCCTCTTAAAACAGCATCAGTGTTTTCTACCTTAACATTAAGAAGATATCCAGCATTAAAAGTGCCTTCAATGAAACCAGTGACTGACTTCCCCACCATTTCGTCACGACTATCATCAGTTGTACCTGCTGTTTGGCCGAAGTTCAACACGTTGTAAGAACCAGGAATTACAGGTACATTCTCCCCTTGAACTGCACTGAAATCTCTGCGTGGTACATTCTCCCCTTGAACTGCACTGAAATCTCTGCGTGGTACATTCTCCCCTTGAACTGCACTGAAATCTCTTCGTGGCACATTCTCCCCTTGAACTGCACTGAAATCTCTTCGTGGCACATTCTCCCCTTGAACTGCACTGAAATCTCTGCGTGGTACATTCTCCCCTTGAACTGCACTGAAATCTTTTCGTGGTCGGCCACGTTTTCGTTTCACTGGAACATTTAGTGGAGTGCCTGATCTTTGATTTTGTTGGTTCATCTTCTAGAATGCCAATAATAGATATGCCTTTAGAAAATATATCTGAAAAAGAGAAATGTTACTATTTGACCAAATGAAGTAGGTCTGATTACCCTACATTCCTTAATCTTAATGCTGGATAAGATCAATAAATGAATTCAGAAGAAATGAATGGTGTTCGTGTGAGAAAGAATAAGACATAAAGAGAATCCGTATTTTTCAATTTGAAAATTATTACCATTTTTCTACATATTCAAAATTATATGAACAAGTAAGCCTCTACAGCAACCAAACATCATATCTATTACACAGATCAACATAATCTGCATGCATAAAAAATTATTAGTCAAAATAAAGGATTTTTATGTGCGCCTATGTCCATGCTTGTGTGTGTCTTTATCAAGAGTATGATAAAATTCTCTAATATCATCACTCTTTCCAAATATTTAAAATGCTTCACATGTCATAATAGAGAGACCTCTGCCATATTTAGTCCAACAATAGGTTTGATATAAAATTTATGGTTAAGAAAGAGAAAAGCATATGAGAATGACCCTGAAACATTAACTCCGTTTTTAAAAAAAAAAAAAAAAGATAGACAGAAAGAAAATGTAAATATTTCAGCAACTGAACAAACAAATTTCCTAATGCCAAGAATTAGGCATAAACTCAGGAAAGATTAAAGTCACAGTCAGAGTGGGCCCAATTAACATTGATTTGAAATATACTGAAAATGAGAAAGAAATACTTTGAGCACACTCATTACTGTGTTTGATGCAGCAGATAAAACAAAACAGGGATTCAAGATCACATACATTGTCACAATTTTTAGTAGTGGTAAAGCGATGTTATCATTCAGACGAGATCAATATGCAGGCAATGATTCCTACAGAAGAATTTCTGCAATTTACAAATGATTTTTCATTAAATGCAACGATGTATGTACGCCCAGAAACGAAAATTTATTATGCAACGAAAAAGGTTTTGGATTCAAGGAATTTATAATAAATGTCTAATAACATGTAAGCTATTGCCAATGCAGGAGCAGTTGTCCCAACTGGGATCAAACCCCTAAACTAGCAATGGAACAAAGTTACAAGAGTGGCAAGAATCATAGATAAATTTCTTTCTTGAACATCAGAAAAAATAGAAATTTTAAAATGTAGGTTTTCTTCTAGGTACAAAAAGCGTACAAGAAAACAAGAAAAACTTACATTTGGATTAGGACTGTCCAAAGATGTTGGGAGCGCAATGGGGCGAATAGAATCAACAGCAAAACCTGGAACTTTTGTGGTTGTGGCGAGAAAATCAAAGATGTTGTCTTTGTTACAGTATTTGACACAGAAAGAAAAAAGAAATTAAAATTGAAAGATATGAATAGAAACTCAAGAGTGTTGGATGGAATGAATATGGATGTTAATGTTGAATCTCTATGTTGCTAAGAACAAAACTCCACAAGTGGCTGGCTAAATTTCATCACTTCATCTTAATAAGTTTAATAGCTTAATATATATTTTTTTAGATTTATTCAATTATTATTTAAACTGACAATTTCTTCTTATATTCTTATTTTTTAAGCAAGTTATTGTTTTCTCTCACTCCTTTTAAATTGTGTAATTAAAACAACAATAAAATAATAATAATAATAATAATAATAATGACGAAGATGCATTAATATAATTGTTTTTTATAACATTAAAAAGTATTGATAAATAACAAGTACTCTGCATATATACTTTTATAGCTTCTGAACCTGTTCCATGATTCAGCATATATAGGGGATTTAGGGTCCCTCTGTGAGTTATACCAAATGAATTTTGATTGTTATATACACAGTGTTTGATTGTTTTGTATCAAACCTTATGTTACCAAGACATAAAAACTTAAAGGAGCTAAGTTTTGTTAACATCTTTATAAATATTGTTTGAAGAAAAATAAGATGAAATCATTTTTATCCAAAACTAAAATTACAAAACTTATTTTTAGTGAGGTTTATACAAAATGGTTTTTCTAATTTTACTTATAAAATAATTTATTTTATTTTATAAAAACACTCATTTTTATTTTATAAAACACTCTTTTGTTTATTAAAATTACAATTTTTTTTTTACAAAATAATTTCTCATTTAATAATATGATCTATAATTTTGGTTCTTAATTTTTAATTCTTTATAAGTTCATTTTTTAAATAACTATATATATATATATATATATATATATATATATATATATATATATATAATATGTCCAAATTAAATGGAAAGAAGAAAATATAAAACTAAATCAGCTAAAGATAAATAATAATAATTGTACTTATAAAAATATTATTCTTGAACATTTTAATGAATTAAAATATCTATTAATTTAATTTTCAATTAATTAGATCAAACACAACTAATTAACAAAATTATGTAAAAAAAAATCAAGAACAAAAATTAGAAATTTTACAACTGATATGGGCTAAAATTGCGTAAATAAAATTCAACAACCACAATATAGAATATGAACAATACGAAACAAAATTATAATTAAGCATGAATAAATTTAGTGGGAAAGTATTGATTTTAATCCTTTCCTCCTTAAATAGTTAAAGAAAATATAAAAATATATTCTCATTTTATTTTTATATATATATTATTTATGAGAAAACTGCAATAAATAATACTACTACAAAATATACTTTCTACGTTGTCATATAACGTCGGTTATAACTGAGACGACGTGGAAAGTACTTTCCACATCGGTTCCCAGATTAACTGATGTTGAAAGTTGAATGTTAAACACATTTTGTAACGTCATTTTTTTTTCTAATTTATTTAATTTCTCAAAAATGGGAATAATTTTTTTTTTCAATATTATTTCTTTATGACAATGAACTTTAAAACTGGTCATGCGTGAATGAATATATATAGAAGATGTGTCGAACATATTCATACATATATATTCATAATCATAATACATTGTTTTTCAAAATAACTAATCCAACAAAGATCATACTATAATTACATAGAGTTTGTACCCTTAAACGATTAGAACTTAATTTTAAATTTATACATCTCAAAATAAAGCAAATCCTAATCAGAGCAGGTACTCAAAATTCCTAACTTTCTTATACAAGATCATGCCCCTCCTGGATGGCAGCATTCTTCCATACATATGTATATGATACTCAATCAAATTGTGGTTCCTCCACCATAATTGTTCCATCATTACCTGAAATATAACATTAAGGATGAGTTTCCTTTTCTCATCACTCCAGAACACTAAACCGAAAATTTTTCCAACCTCCACAATCTAAAACCATATGTAACATTTGTAGTCAAACATTTCATTTTTTTACAATAAAGTATCCCACGTAGAAATTTCAAACAATTTCCACAAATCACATTACTCAAACTAAAAACACACAATACATGTTTGTGTTTCATTCGTTCATTTTTTTGCTACCTTTGAAATTCTCATGCACCTAAGATACACTATTAATCCCATCTCTCAATCCATGAAAGGATCACACATAAGTACAGACAACTCTCACAAGCATAACAAAATTACACACGAGCATAAATGACTCACAGAAGTATAGATAGCTGCCGGTTGATCTGCGCATCACAGATACAATGCTTACGCATAACGATCCCTTGGCAAAAAGATAAAGTCAAAGAGGCAAGTCGGGAGTATAGAGTGTGGCCAAATAATGCACTCTATATTTCCCCAAGATCACTCTGATCTTTTCTTATCTCCTAAGCCCCCGGTGTATCTTCGTACCATCCACACACATATCTCGTCACTGAGTGATACCACTAACTCTTTAACAACAATATATTTGGTAGGAACAAACTCTACATCATACAGACCATATTACTATAGACATAATACCCTATTTTTAGATGACCAACACCTCTGACTTAGACTCAGCACATAACACAAACATCTTATAGACATGATTTCTACTAACTACCATGATTATAAATGCATTACCTATTCATAACGTTTCTTTATACCATTCTTATTAAGCTTTATTTATTTTTCATCAATTTCAAAAATTTGACAGAGTCTCCTTTGTAATTTGAACGTTTCTCAATTTACATATACATTCAAATCAAATTCATATAACACATTTTCCTGCATCAAACAAGAACAATATCAATTTGTCGAGGGTCGGACACTCTCGGACTCAGCACACATTGCAATCCATCAATTTTTTTTAAACTCTTGTTATTCTAATCTTGTGTCCCAAAATATCTCATTAGACTATCATTCTCACATCATACATACTCATAAAATAAATAATAGGTCCAGAACTAAATTTTTGTTTACACTTCTCTAGGAAGAAAAGTCTATCATAAGCATTATAAAAATGTAACTTTGGAAAAATTATTTGCCATCTAAACTAACTCCAAATTCTATGAAATTTTCCAGTTCAAAATACATATATTCTAGGATTATAATAAAAATTATAACTCAAAATTTAAAGATTTCTAAGTCATTCAAAACTTTTCTCCCTTTTCATACGTTTTGAAGATTCCACTACCAGGTCATTACTCAAAGATATATTTTTATAAAATAAAATAATGGTCATAAAATTATGAAAATAAATATACTTAACATATACCTACAAAAACAACTATGATAAAAATTTCATCTCAAAAAACATCAATTTCGGTTTTATATGATTTTTCAAAGTTGCTGAGCGGATATAGCAATTCTGTTTCACCCAACTCAAAACCTATTTACTTTCAAGATTTTTCATCAAAAATCAACTTGTCAGAAAATTTTGAAATAAATCACACACGAACTATACATATAAAGTAACATGTAATCAAAATTTCAGAATTAAATACCAAGCAAATATTTTTACATAATTTCTCAAAGATTTTGTTCACATGCAGATTTTTTCCCAGCAACATCTCTCAACACATATTTTATCATCTTCCTCTAGAAAAATCCAATTTAATTGATTTTTACAGCTAAATCTAGGTTTTAGCATCCAAGGAATCCATTTCTAAACTCTAAAATATGAA